CGCGCGGAGGCCCGTGTAGAGCACCACGCAGAACCCAAGGAAGTAAAAGTCCCCGTCGCCGATGGCATATTGTCCGGAGTTTGGGGTGTAGTGCGATGGTGAGAAGAATTTGGATGTGTGTTGGCGTGCGCGGGGGACGAACAGGTGGGTGACGACGAGGAGGGCGAGGAGATTGAGGGGGATCTCTGGGGGGGCATGTTTTAGTTCATGGGACGCAGATGGCGAGCATCAGACACAACGTGATGTACCACCCACCAATTTGATGATCGAGCAACCAGTTGGCTAGATTCTTGGGGCGTCGTGGGGGTTTCCGCTTGAGTAACCGTTGAACGAGGTTGTCCCTGCACAGTGATTGGGATTGCGGGGAACGTGTGGAAGGCTTGGAGAATGGCGCCCTCATCGCTGGCGCGTGCTCTAGAGCGTCCTGGGTGGTGTGGCACTCGCTCATGACGAGATCCAGCTGCAGCTGATGCAGCTCGAGTGGTATATGGTGACTGAAAAACGGAGGTAGATAGATCGATTACATAGACGAGTTAGGAGCAACTGTGTTGACACCCTTGATGACCGGGGGGCTGATTGACGTGTCCAGATGGAGAAAAAGTCAATAGACTAGACCCGTCTCCTTCCATTGAACGGCATCAATGAGTGCGGCATTCATGCCAGCCGCCAATCCATCACGTGATATTTCTTTGTCTCCCGCTTTCGGGCTTGTTGTTTTTGTTGTTGTTGTGGTGGTGGTGGTTGCTGTTGCTATGCGCGGTGGTCTGGATCCCGGGCCATGATCATGGGTCGATCACGGGCATGTAAAAGGGCCAGCCCATAGGGGGAAAGGATCAATAGAAATCCCGAATGTTAGCCGGACCCACCCGATCAAGCTAGCGTATCCCGTGACCCACATAGTCGTCGATCACGCCGGATGCAGTGGGTCATTCTGTATGCGGTGCGGGACAGTACTGTGGAGTGACCTACTTAATCTGATGATCGGATCTACCTACTACTTATACCTACATCCATAATAGCAATCACACCTGCTTAGCGAACAACCCTCCCGACCAGTTCCACATGGATCCCTCCCCTCCAGCTTCGCTGCTGGCTTGCCTCCTTGACGACACCGACATCTGGACGGAAACTATCGTGGCATTTACGATCATCATCGTCTTGATCTCCATTTATCAAGCCCAACCCTCTGGGCCGGCATACTGTATGTCATAAATTCCCTTGCATAGTCCCCACACTCTGTATCTCTATCATGTTCAAGACTAATCCCGTGTGGCCTACTCCAGCTCGTGCACGGCCAGCACGCGCATTCCATCCCCCATCGGGAGCAAACAAGCCAGAACGTGCTGCAAGGCAACTCTCCATTCTTGACCTCGAAGTTTGCTAAAAGGAGGCTTTTTTGGGGGGTGGGGAGACCCGGCCAGATACAGGAGTGGCTAACGACACCATCCTTTCGGGTTTTATCGCTGTTCGGGTACTATCTATCCTATCAACGTGGCAATAGATGGAGATGAAGAGACAGGCCCGCGTCTCAGGTACTGGGCGCCTTGAGGGCATACTGATGTCAGTCCCTCCGGGGTGGGGTGAGAGGGACTAAACGGCAGGAGACCAGCAAAACGCAGCTTCGATTTGCTATTGCCACCACCACCACCACCACCCCCGAGCATTATCATCCTTGGTCTTGTGTTTGGAATGAGAAGCTGCAGTTTGAGGTGCAAAAGTTGGCCTTCTTTTTTGTATATATCATGCCTAAGCGGGGCTGTTTCTAGGTGATTTGCCTTGATTAAAAGAAGGCTGAGAAAGGTGGGGAGGGGATAAATAGTCGATTTGGCGTGGAGACATGACGAGCGCGATCGAGTCGCTGTCAGAGAATTGGGGAATGAGAGATTCATTCTATTGGAAAAGGTTCTTCGCATTATCAGTCTGGATCAATCATCAATCCGCATGCCGAGCGGTTCCCCGCTGCCAGCCACATTCCAACATCTATCAATCTGCAGGATGATCATGTGGAATTGGCCCGCTTTGGCACCCGCATCCAGCAGACTACAATCAGTTCCCCGGTGTTATCTAAGTACAGTCACCCAAAAACGACACAGTTGACTCTCCGCAAAACATCACCCACCGACTCTATCTGAAGGGTGAGCAAGAAAATAAGAAAGAAAGAAAGAAAGCCCCGTGACCAGTCAGAGTCACCCGGTCAGCACCTCAATCGAGCTGCACCTTACACCCCTCCGCACTCGAGACGACGAGCGTGAGGGTCTGCGTTTCCTGGCCGGGCGTCACATCCGCCGCATCGGGTGCCTTGCGGAGGTTCGGGAACGCCTGGATCAGTCGGATCAGCCCGAACGAGGCCTCGGTGAGAGCAAAGTCTTCTGTCATTTCATCAATGATACGGCATCATCAGCCAAAGACCTTTCTCCAGGTGTATCGATCTATCGATCTGAGGGGGAAAGGTAGGGGCCCAGGGGGGGGGCAGGGGGGACGCTCACTTCCCAGACATATCCGTGGTCCACCATGAAACGGCATGAAGGCGAACCCGAGATTCTTCAATTCGGGCCCCGCCCACCGCTCGGGTCGGAACGCCTCCGCGTCAGGCCCGTAGATCTCCTGGCTACGGTGCATGTGGTAGGCCGAGAATCCCACGCCGGTGCCTTTGGGGATGAGCAGGGGCGAGTCGCCGGCGGGCCCGCCGCCGCGGGGGAGGTAGGTGGTTCGTCGGGCGAGGCGCACGTTCACGGGGATCTGAGTGTATAGGCGGTTGGCTGCAGCGGATTAGGGGTTAGGCCTGCTGGTGAGGGTGACGGGAAGAGAGGGAGGGGGCATTACGCACTTTCATTGAGAACGTATCGCAGATACGTCATCTTGTTGATTTGGCTTCGCGTCAACTGCTTTTCTCCCTTGGTGGTCGAATAGATTTCCTGGCGAAGACGCTCAAGGGATGCTGGGTGGCGGACTAATTGATAACTTTGAAGGTGAACTCATGAGTGAGAAGATCGTTTCGAAGGCGAGCATATCAGGGGAAAGGTGGAAGGCGTCGTCCACTTACCACGCCCACGACATCAGACAAGCCGTCGTATCTCGCCCTGCGATCAACACATTCAGGAGCTGATCCCGCACCAGCTCGGGGCTCCGGAGCTCCTTCAGGAGATCGAGGATGAATGGATGGCGCGTGGCCGCCTTCTCCTCTCCGTTTGCTCGCATGTCGTCCAGCGCATGGTTCACGTAGTGGGTGGCATACTGGCGGATCACCCCGCAGGCGTCCCGATAGGCTCGGGGACTGTACGCCCAGCACCAGTCCGCCAGCCGCATCCGCATGGCCGAGATCAGCGAGGTGTAATCGAAGGCGTGGGCAAACTGGGCGTGATCGCTCGGTGCCAGGCCCCCGGCGGACGTCTCCCCGAAAATGAGCAAGATGGTGGTGGCCAAGGTGAATTGGAAAAAGGCCGGCTGCAGGTCCACGATGTCCCCGGGGCACGACCGCAGGGTAGCGAGGAGGTCGTCGATCGGACGGTCAAAGATCTCGGTGTCTTGACCTTGGATGCGGGCGAACTGTCGCCGAAGAAGCTGGCGCGAATGCTTCCAGGCGAGGCCGTCTTGGGTGAAGATGCCCGTGCCGATCATGGGCAGCAGTCCATCCCGACTATTTCCGAGTTCCCATTCTAGAGAGAATCAAAGCATTATTGGTGAATTCGATGATTTCTCGGTTGGGGGTGAACTGGGAGATTCCATGACAGGACTTCAACATACCGTCAAACCGCGTCTGCAACATGGACTCCAGGTTCCTGGGATCCATCGTAAAGTAGCCCACGCGACCCAGCAGCCGGATCTCAAAAGTCTGGCCGACCCGGAATCGCTGGAAATAGTCGGCTTGGTAGGCCAGTAGCTTGCCACGCGCGAGAGCATCATATTGGCTCTTGAACACATCGAGGCCTAGAGGCCACTTGTAGGGCAATCTCCGCTGGATGGGCTGGCATCCATGCTGTCGACCAAATAGCTCATCGGCCTAGAGAGGGTCGGGGTGAGTTCGAGGAGCAGTGATGGGAAATGACACCAGAAAGCCCAGTTACGTACTTCATTCTGGCGACGTCTCCTCAGATAGAAAACGATCCACCAGGGCAGGGAGAGGGTGAGAACGAGGTGCCATAGCCTCAGATCAATGAGGTCCCATTGAATTGTGTCCATGGCGAATTTCGAAAAGAGACAATGTATGCACGGGAGGAGAAAGCTGTAGCTGAAGCGGCTCGAAGAAGATGGGGAGGATAGAGATATCAAAGAGACAGACAGACCCAACATTGCTCGGAGCTCTAAACAAAGAAGTCTCGTGTTTTGATTCCATGAGCTTCGTTGTTCCTCAGAAACATGGACCCCTAAAGCCAAAAGTCGGGCTGTCAACTCAATATCCCGTGGCTACTCAGCAATTTCCTGGTACTCGGAAACACCCGCACCATTACCCTTGGGTCAGGCAGTTCATTCTTTGTGGAGTGTCTGTCTGTCTGTCTGCTTCCTTTCAATCCAAAGCATCAGACAGTATTCTCCTCATGAATTATCATGAGAGTCTCAGGGGGGGAGGAGGGGGGTCAGATTTCTCTTTCTCCCCCTGATCGACGGCTTAGAAAGCCATGATCCAAATAATGTTTTAGCCATCGTATGCCTGCAAAGGGTTACAGACCAATGGGGGCAATTTAGCACCGCGGATGGAGGACTAGGGCTTGAAGGCAGTGCTGGAATAGCCCAGTGACTGGACGGGTATCAGAGCCACCCACCGTAAAAAAGCAAAAGGAAAGCCTCGATGTTCGGTACACGTGAATTATAGTCTCAGGCCATCGCAAAAGACCCGTCAGTTGGGGATAGTTAAGTAGTTAAGGGGATATTGAGATGACTAATGGCGTTGAAGACTTCGCGATGGCCCCCTTTAACTGCCACGACTACCTCATTGATATGTTGTCAGTGAAGGCGCTTATTCCGAATATTCTCCAGAGCTCGATTGTCCTGCAGGAAAATCCATGGACCCCTTCTCGATTCTCGTTGGAAGTGCAGGGCTGGCGGATGTCTCCTTTCGCATCATCTCCTATCTTGCCACGATCCGAAGCGCATCTGCCAAGATACAGGATGAACTCACCATTTTGAGCCAGGAGATCTCATCGCTGATTGCGGTCAACGAGACGGTCGAGGACTGCTGGCATTCCTGGCATGACCCGAGTAGCTTCGACACCTCGGCCAACGACGAGGCTCATGTCACCGACGTCTGGAAGAATCTCGCCATGCTCTTGCAGCAAAGCAAAGGCCATGTCGAGCAGCTGGAGGCCTTACTCAATGCAGTCATTGGCAACAATGGCCCCCAGGTGGCTGGCAAGCTGGATGGGTTGAGGAAGACGATCCGAAAACAAGGCCGCGATGGGGAATTCATGCAGTTACGCCAGCGCATCGCCAACCATCAGGCTGGCATCCAGATCTTGTTGAATGCACTAAATCTGTGTGTCTCCTCAAGGCTGGCCCTTAATTCTAGAATCCCTCCCCCACTCCCCCACTCCCCCGCTGACTTGCTGCAGTGCCTCCACGCTCAAGTCGCATACCGCCAGGGACCGTGCCGTCGGCAACTTGTCCGAGAACCTGCGGCGTCAGAACACCAAAATGCAGATTAGGCTCAATAGCCTACGCCGGGAACTTCGAGGGGGACCCAATTCAGACAGTGTAGGTGATGTCGGCATGGAATAGACCACCCTCGATACAGAACGTAGAATCACCTGCTTACTGGATCACTCACCCAATACTAGCTCTGCAGCTCGCTTGGGTGCGCCGACGCGGTAGCATCGTTGATCCGCTTCAACGAGCACTTCGACATGCCCCAGAATGTGAGCAGTTACTACACAGGCCGCCACAAGCAGCTAGAACAGTTCAAAGCGACGCTCAGCGTCGGCCTCACCCCGGAACATCAAGGACATCAGAAGCGATTCGTCATTCATGGTCTTGGAGGTTCGGGAAAGACCCAATTTTGCTGCAAGTTCGCTCAGGACAATCGAGAGCAGTAAGTACTAGTCCTTGGTCGCGGCGAGAGAGAGGCATAGGGCTTATCCAGAGAGTTCCCCTTTTTCAGTTTCTGGGGTGTCTTCTGGGTCGATGGAAGCTCCTATGCAAACATCCAACACTCCTATGCGCGGATTGCCCGGATCGGCGGCGTGGAAGCGAACGAGAACGCAGCCAAAGCGTGGCTGTCCAGCTTACAGCAGCCCTGGCTCCTGCTCATTGACAATGCCGACGACCCCGAGACGGACGTGGTGCGCTGCCTTCCGGCTGGAGAACGAGGGGTGATCCTGATCACCACGCGCAACCCGACCAGCAAGCAATACGGAACGGAAGGCTCTCGATTTTTCCACTTCGATCAACTCGAGACGCAGGAAGCGAGCGACCTCCTGCTGGCGGCCGCCGTCTGCCCGCGCCCCTGGGGGGTGTCCACCCGACAATACGCCGACCGGATTGCCCAGATCTTGGGCTACTTGCCTCTGGCCCTGATTCACGCCGGGAAAGCCATCTTGGATCAGCTGTGCTCGCTGACCGACTATCCTGAATACTATGAACGGACCTGGAATCGGGTCCGCCGGTCGCGAAGTACTCGGACTCTTTCGCGTGCACGCGAGGCGAATGACCATGGGGATGCATCCTCCAATCTGAGGGTGTATTCATCGTACGAGATGATCTACGTGGGCCTCGAATCCAGAAGCGATCAGCGGTCTCGGGATGCGCTGGATCTGCTGAGGATGTTCTCCTTCTTCTACTGGGAGAACATTGAGTATGATCTGATCAGAGCCGCGGCCACGAACCCTCGGCAAGAACGAGAAGAGACTCAAGCGCGGCGCGAGCAGACGATTCAGCAACAGCAACCACTATCATCCCTGCTTCCGGGGCCCAGGACTAGGACTTGGGCTTGGATAGCAGGACCTTACCAGTGGATCGCCACCATGGCCGACCGGCAGACCAGACCGAGTGCGACTCTGCCGGATCTCCTGCGCGACGAGGATGCCCAGCCCTTCGACGAAGATCGGCTACGGGGCGCGCTGTCGCTCCTGGTTCGTCTGGGCATGGTGACCCTCCACGAGGAAAACAACAGTTATTGGATGCACCCGATGGTGCATACCTGGGTGCGACAGCGGCCCGAAACCAGCACCGCCGAGCAGGCCCTCTGGTGCCAAGCAGCCGCGACCGCTCTGGCGCAGTCGATCTGCTTCCACGCTCAGAGGCATAAGCGCCAGATCCATCCCCACGTGGAGCATGTGCGCAAGTGCCAGGCGGAGGTGGAGGCCCGGCTTGCCGAGAATCAGAGACGCGGGCGTCGGCCGTGGCACCAGACGATGTACCTCTACCTTCTGCCTCCGCAACAAGGGTTAAGGAGGCCTCACCAGGCAGTAGAAGCCGCCAAGTTTAGCTTGGTCTACCTTCAGTGTGGGCAATATGCCCAAGCCGAGGAGCTGCAGCGTCAAGTTCAGGAGTACATCTTCGCCAGATCCGGTCCCGAGTCTGAGCACGGGATCACGATTGCTCGGTTGCTGTCCAAGACCTACGCTCTGCAGACCCGCAACAACGAGGCAAGAGCCCTGCAATATCGGGTGCTGGACGCGGCCGTCCGCTTCTATGGCCCCGAATATCCCCTCACGTTACAGATCATGGATGACCTTGGCGCCACTTGTCTGGCAGGCAGCCGGCTCCAGGAGGCTTATTGCCTCCACCAAGCAGTCGTCCGCAAGCTATCCCAGCTGGACGGGTTTGGACCCCAGCATGAGACGACGTGCGCGGCCGTCCAGAGCCTGGCCCATGTCGAACATCGGTATCTGGAGCATGAGAAGGCGTTCGAGCTGCAGTCTCGGGCCTATGAGGGACTGCGAAGGATCCTAGGCCCCACGCATCCCCAGACCTTGGAGGCTCAAGATAACCTGGCGAGCAGCTACGGGTTTCTAGGCGAAGCGCACCTGCCCCTCGCGCTGCAGCTGAGCGAGGAGGTTCTGCAGATCCGCACCCAGACCCTGGACCGGGAACACCCCTTGACCCTCCAATCGACACTCACCGTGGCCAAAATCCAGACCGCGATGGATCGGTTTGCAGAAGCCGAGCAATTGTTCCTCGACGGGCTGCCCGTCGCTGAGAGGAATCTGGGCCCGAACCACCTCGGGACCCTGGCGGCTCGGACGTGGCTCGGGCATCTGTACTGGCGTCAAGAACGACATTCGGAGGCGCAGGCCATCTGGATCGATGTCCTCTCCAAACAGAGATATGAGCAGTCCAGGCGTGCGGATGGGGAACATACGGATCGCAGTAAGTGCATGCATGCTCCTTGTCTCTCTCTCTCTCCATGTCCCGATACTGCCTCTCTGCTCTCAACCCTGAATATGGCCGCACGGTAACAAACCCTGCTCATTCTAGTCCAAGCCATGTGGTTTCTCCTCCACTCCTATGAGGATCAAGGGCGGGTGGATGATGCCCTACGGATCTCGGAGGAGATCACCCAGCTGCTGTACGACTTTGGCGGAGAAGGTCTGGGCCCGAAGCACAAACTCTGGAATCATCTGCAGAAGAAGAGGGAAAGTTTACTGCGGTGGAAGAGACTGGGCAGCAGGCCTGATGATGGTGGTGGTGGTACTCCAGTTCGGCTGAAGAAGGTGGTGAAGGACTTTACCTTCTGACACCCTATCTTTGGAATAAAGGGTTTCAATTGTGTGGTTAAGAAGTTTTGTACACTTCTAACAGAGTCTTGATAGCGATGACGAAGAGAAAAGAGTAGGATGGGTTGAGGATGCGTTAAGTGGGAGTCTGTTGCAAAGGGCGCACATAAAGATACATTGGAAACTAGCTCAGTCAGTAGAATTAATTAGTAGTCAGTGCTGCATCATTGTATACCATTTCTCAATATGCGTCACACTCCTCTAGCCTCTCCAAAACAAGTGGATCCAGAAGTAGTCTACCCCGGATTCCGAAGAGCGTTTATGGATCCCCTGTGGCCATGGTCTGATGGTCAAAGCCATCTCAATGCTCTAACTCCGGAAGAAGCCGGGCTAAAACACTAAGATTCGGGAAGAACCGCAGTTTGAGTTGCAATTTGCCTAACTTAAGCGCGCCCGAGCGGCGCTTAGTCAGCTAGCTGGAGCTGAGCTGAGCTGAGCTGAGCTGTAGTTACCCGTTCAGGAAGGAAGCCATACGCTTAGCCGGCGGAAGAGAGAATAAGGAAATCGGCTTCATCATCATGGATCCATGATCATCCTCAATCTCTCCAGGCTTCATCACGCATCGATACAATTCCAGAAAACCGACATCGGTGCAGATGATAGCATGCTGTCGCTGGCATGTGAAGATTCAAGGCAGGATGATAAGAGGCGAGTCTACTGCCCTGGCACTTTCCGTGTTAACCCGTCTTTGCCCTTTCCCTCTCCCCTCACAATTTCTCCTCACCGAGCGAGCCACTTCCCCCTCACTACTCCATCTCCAACTTTTTTTTTCTGTATGTTTCTTCCCCAATTATGCTGACCAACAAGTATTGATTCAAGTGGTTCGAATGGAGATTAGGCTACATGCCACTTGATTGACGGAGGAGACGAGCCAGTGCAACAACCAGAGATTACACAAAGTACCAAAAGAAAAAAAGAAAAAAAGAAAAAAAAAAAAAAAAAAAAAAAAAAAAAAAAAAAAAAAAAAAAAAAAAAAAAAAAAAAAAAAAACCTTGGCCCGCCGACCGGAGGGTTCGGAATCCACTTTTTCTTGCTGGTGCACTGGAAGCTGACCAGCCACTGAAAAGGAATGAAAATTGCCTTCACTGCCAGATCGAGCAAATTTCCGCCTTGCGACAAATCCTCAAGTCCCAGTTTCCACTCTTCCCACTGCTTCCACCGACACACCGGCTCGCCCAAAACAGCTTAACCGTCATTGACCTCTTTATCGCATCAGTCATCCCAGTGACTCGTGCTTTTGCCCAAATTTTTTCGGCTTTAGTCACTTTTGGCGCCGCCTGTCTGACTGTTAGTTATCATCTTGTGAATCGCTTCTTCCTCTCTCTTCAGTTCAAACTCAACCCAACCCACTCACAACTCCCCTCTCCACTCTCCCTTCCCTTCCTTTTTTACCCCCTTTGCCTTCTGGCTCAGGTGCGACAATGGTTGGAAGTACGCTGGCTATCCGGTCCAAGATGGCTTCCCCATCCGCCGCTATGCAGTTGTCGTCGCTGTCGCGCAGGTCGCTCTCGACGCGACCCCAGCTCCTCCGGTCCGCACGTCCCTTGAGATTCTCCCAGCAGCAGTTCCAGCGCTCCACCCGTCGCGCCTACGCCGATGCTTCTCAACCCGCATTGCCCGCCCCCAAGCCCAAGAAGCGCTTCGGGTTCTTGCGCTGGACCTGGCGCCTGACCTGGATGAGCTCCTTGGGTCTGGCTGGTTACCTGGCCTATAGCGTCTACGACTCGTGCCACCCTGTCGACCAGATCGAACCCGACCCGTCCAAGAAGACTCTGGTCATCCTGGGTAAGGCTTCTCGTTCCTTGGAGTGTCTTCGGCGCTCTTTAGTATGACGCGATCGCTCGCGGTGGTCTAGCAGGAGCTAATAAGCATATCGTTCGACAGGCTCCGGATGGGGTTCCGTCTCCCTGCTGAAGAAGCTCGACACTGAGAACTACAATGTCGTCGTCATCTCGCCCCGCAACTATTTCCTGTTCACCCCTCTCCTCCCCTCCTGCACGACTGGACAGGTCGAGCACCGTTCCATCATGGAGCCCATCCGCAACATCCTCCGCCAGAAGAAGGCCCACGTCAAGTTCTACGAAGCCGAGGCCACCAAGATCGACTACGAGAGGCGCGTCATTTCCATCAGCGATGATTCCGAGATCAAGGGCGAGATCTCTCACACCGAGGTGCCTTTCGACATGCTGGTCGTTGGTGTCGGTGCTGAGAACGCTACTTTCGGTAGGTGATCCGGTCTGGGCCGCGCCGAGACAATAGAGACTGATGCGAAACAGGTATCAAGGGTGTGAAGGAGCACTCCTGCTTCCTGAAGGAGGTCGACGATGCTCAGAAGATCCGCAAGCGCATCATGGACTGCGTCGAGACTGCCATGTTCAAGGATCAGACCCCCGATGAGGTCAAGCGCCTGTTGCACATGGTGGTCGTTGGTGGTGGCCCGACCGGTGTCGAGTTCGCTGGTGAGCTGCAGGACTTCTTCGAGGAGGATCTGAAGAAGTGGGTCCCCGAGATCCAGGAGAACTTCCGCGTCACCCTGGTCGAGGCCCTGCCCAACGTCCTGCCCATGTTCTCCAAGCAGCTGATTGACTACACTGAGTCGACCTTCAAGGAGGAGAAGATCACCATTCGCGCCAAGACCATGGTCAAGAACGTCACCGATAAGTTCATCGAGGCCGAGGTCACCAACCCCGACGGCACCAAGACCCTGGAGAAGATTCCCTACGGTCTGCTCGTCTGGGCCACCGGTAACGCTGTCCGCCCTGTTGTTCGCGACTTGATGAGCCAGTTGCCCGCTCAGAAGAACTCCCGCCGCGGTTTGGCTGTGAACGAGTACCTCGTCGTGAACGGCGCCGAGAACGTCTGGGCTGTCGGTGACTGCGCGATCACCAACTATGCTCCTACTGCCCAGGTTGCCAGTCAGGAGGGTGCCTTCCTCGCCCGCCTGTTCAACACCATGGCCAAGACTGAGAACGTCGAGGCTGAGCTGAAGCAGCTGTCGGAGGCCCAGGCCACGGCCAAGAGCGACGAGGAGCGCAACCAGATCTTCGACGAGATCCGCGAGCGTCAGAAGCAGTTGCGGAGAACCAAGCAGATTGGTCCCTTCCAGTACTCTCACCAGGGCAGTCTGGCCTACATTGGTAAGGAGCGTGCTGTTGCCGACATCAGCTGGCTGAGCGGCAACATTGCCAGTGGTGGTACCATGACCTACCTCTTCTGGCGCAGTGCTTATCTGAGCATGTGCTTCAGCAGTAAGTGCCCTTGTGTCGAAAATTGTTTGATCTGCTCTGACCCATTATCTAGCTCGTAACCGTGTCCTGGTCGCTATGGACTGGATCAAGGCCAAGACTTTTGGTCGTGACGTGTCTCGGGAGTAAATCCGCCGGCATTAGACTACAGTGTATCACTATCAGCAGACATGCTACGCCTATGAACATTTTACAGCGAGGAACTTGCTCTTTCTAATACCGCCCTCTGTTTCTCTCGCACTCACCTTTTCCTTGACGCCCTTTATATGACTACTCGTCGACTCGACTGTCAACCGCTTACTGCAAGCAATGCCCCTCGGCTCTGGTGGCTTCGAACATCGGGGACGAGACTTGCACGAATGATGCAAGGGATCATCATCCACCGGGGCAAAAGTACTATCTGATATCTTTTTCATTTGTTTCTCTTATTTGTGTACGGAACGATAGACCGGGTTCGGGTTACTGTTTAGATATGCTAGAATTGGCCATGTCGGATTTTCCTGTCTGATGTATACTGTACACTGGATCTTATTTTGCTTAATATATCCACCTGTTCAATTAGTGGTTTGTTGATTATATGTCTCTGTTGTAGATTCAGCCTGGAAGTGCTGGCCACAAGCGGTTGGGTGTTGATTATATATCTCGTTGTCTATGGACTGAGGCAGATGCTCGTTCGAAAACGTGTTACTGATAGGAGCTGGAGCTGACATCGATCTTCATGATGTCAATTCACATGAGTGAGGTGGGTTGCTATCGGGATCAGTCTTGAAAAAACATGACCAAGGGACCCGGGTCGAGGTCCTGTCTGGTAGTTCTTTCTACTGAAGACAGGGCTTCTTTCTCACACCGCCAATACTACCTACTGTAATGAGGAATCGAGAACACCAAAAAGACACGAAAAAAGAAAGCGTCCAGGGAGAGGATCGAACTCTCAACCTCACGATTAACAGTCGTACGCGCTAACCAATTGCGCCACCCAGACGATTTGTTGAGACGCCCAGTACCTGGAGGAAATATGAAGCGTGTCACCAAATGTGCAGGAAAAGAGGCAAAAAGCAACGTCCTAGGAGAGGATCGAACTCTCAACCTCACGATTAACAGTCGTACGCGCTAACCAATTGCGCCACCCAGACGTGTTCCTTGAGATAGTTATTTTGTTGGTGGTATATGACCTCATGATGACATGAGTCTTCGAGTGCGAAACGATGAACGCATTGCATTCGCTGGCCATTATCCGCAGGTAAGAGATATCATGCCTACAATTCTTCTCGGCAATTACAGTAATGCTCATATAAATTCTTGGTTTGCTCACCGCTTAGGAAGTTTGCAGTCTGGCTTCGAGTCTTCCGTCACTGGGGTCAGAAATGCATTGATGCCTGCCTGCGCAAGACGGTTTCTTTCTTTCTTTTCTTTTCTTTTTTTTCCCCCAAGGAAGAAATGCCGACACTCGGTATAGTTAGATCCTTGAATGTTCTCGGGCGGTACGCTAACGGAAAGCTTAATGCAACGTAGCGTAGCCAATAAGGTAGAGAATCGTTTTCTATGCACTTGCTGTTGTTGTAAATCCACACTACACCGAACAAACCATCTAAGCTATATATCCACCTCGGCTGTATCATCCTGGGCAGGTTTAGGGATACTTTCCACCGCTTAAGCTATCTGTACCATGGTTGTCTTTCTCAAGATCAGGTGCGCTATTCTTTCTCCTTTGAGATATATTCTTTTGTTTCGTCTAGCGCCGTACATGTGTGATGTGCCGGACCATAGCCCCGGGTTCTGATGGACACTCTAGTTCTGCTCCGCTCCACTCACAAGAGGTGCTTCAATGAAGAGTACCGCCGGTTGAAGTTTTGTATGTTTGCAATCCTCGAATGCAGATGTTAGCAATATTCCTACCGACCTGGAATCCTCAACCGCAAGACCCCCACGAAGGCACAAGCGCAGGCAAGAGACATTAATCGGCGTTCTCCTTACCCTAACAAAGCCACGATCATTCATCACAACCACTCTTCCACAGCTACCGTAAGATCCCGCTTCACACACAAGTCTTCAAAAACAAGCCTTGACCACAACAAAGCCATAGCCAGAACATCTCCGACACATCCCCTCAACCAAAAAGCACCCACCCCAGACCCCGAAGGATATAAGTACTCGCATCCATCCAGACCCAGCCCACCCATCTTCCTCCTCGTAGCAATCCCCTCGTCCTGCTGACCCCGACTCCTCATCGTAAGATCGTAGACTCGAGTCATCAGATCAACTCGAAATGCCCTCTAAAAGGAACAGAGGAAAAAGAGGAGGAAACAGGACCCAACCCCAACCCCAACCCGAGCCCCACGCTCACTCCAACCCCAACCCCAACCCCAACCCCTACCCTCCCCCCCGCAAAATCCCCCTCCTCGAAGCCCGCGACAGCCTCGTCGACCGCCTCCGCCTCCACCTCGAGCAGCACAACCACCCGGGCATCGTCGGCGCCGGCCCGCCCCCGCTCCAGCACGCGCTGTGCATCAGCTGCATCGGCGGCGCCGAAGCCCGCGCCTGCCTCGACCTCATCCAGGTCTTCGCCTACGCCCCGACCCCGACCCAGCCGGACGACACCGATTCCGGCAGCGCCGCCCTCAAGCCCGGCGACCACTGCCTTGGCCTGTGGCGCACGCCCGCCCACCACCGCAAGTTCCTGCTGGAGCACGGGGCGTCGCTGTTCCCGGCGGGGTGGCTGACGCGGCCGTCGATCTCGCGCGGCGGCGGGTGGTTCGTGGTGGATGGGCACCGGCTCTGCGTGGAGGTGATGGAGGCGGTGATCATGCCGTTCGAGAGGGGCCGGTATGCGGCCGTCCGGCTGGATGTGCCGAGGGAGATGGAGCAGTGGGGGTTCGGCGTTTGGGGCGGCGGCGGTGGCGGCGGCGGTGATGGTGGGGTTGGTGGGGGTTGTGAGGAGGAGGCTCTGCGGGCTTGGGCTTGTCTTTGATGGACCCGGGCTTTTGGGGTTGCGTGACCCCTGGACTGGAGATTCTGTTTCTTAGGTCCTATCTTTGATAGGTTGAATACTATTGATTTTTAATGCTGGTTGTGCTGTGTGCTGTAAATTGTAAATGGCTTTGTGAGGGGGTGTTTGTTTGGGAAGTTCGGACGAGTTAGGGTTATTATTTATGTGTTTTGGGCAAGAGATTCTCGTTGGTAGTGTTGTGGAGCGGGAGTAAATTGCTGATGCATACACCTTTTTTACAATGGATTATATACTTCTTATAACTTGTAATCGGACGGATCCTTTGTATCTTGGAAACTTTCCTTTGTGAAATCATCCTCACACTAGATGGAAAGTGCTCCAGAGGTCGTAGATCTCAAAAGTCTCGAGGAGATAATGGAAACGGTGAAACAATCACCAATCGATGATGGATGGTCGAAAGGCAGAGATTGATGAGACCACGACGGGTAGAACCTTTTATGAAGATAAAATTCTGACAGGATTCGAATGTGGCTTTGTTGGACAGATGCAGATTGGCCAGGATAATCGCGTCGAGCTCAGCTGCGGCGAAGGTAAAGTATCCCTGCTTCTATCCAATCCCTGAGACGGGCTGTTAGTTGGTGTTTATTAGACGCTTAGAGGGTTGTCACACGTAACCTAGCAGCAAACAAAATGCCACCTGACACTCTGCTGCTTGAGAGCCGCATTCAGGTGAGTGAATCAGGAGACCAACAGAAGGAATCACAGTCAAAAGAGAGTGCAGGATGATGATGCGAGTATTCTTACAAGAGAGGAGGAAGAACGTCGGACCAAACGAACTACTAGCGCTACTTTCACTTACCAACTGCGCGTACTGTCAAATATACTAGGTATTTAGAATACTTCAATAAGCTGGCCAAGGCTGCCAACTTGGGTGAATGGTTTGAAAATAAGTAGGAAAGAACAGGTGATGAGAGCAGAGGCATAAGGACTACACAGGGTGAATAAAGGCAATACGCCAGCACTGATCTCCGTCCACACTGTATAGTATAAGTATTACATTAGTCAGACTAAATTGCCACGGGCTGAGAGACATAAGTTGCAGAACAAAAGAGGCGCACTAAGATGGACAAGCCCAAATCTCCATCACTCAGCCTACGAGGACCAATGTTCCAACTCCGAGGTACACTGATATATAGCCTATACAGTGATTTGTTTCTTCTGCCACATAAGCAGCGACGCCAACACCTGACCCCCCGCAAGTCCAGCCAAGATCTTCATTTACAGGTTGTAACTGGCCGAGAACGTGCCTCGCACAAGGCTCTGTTCAGCCGGCGGTAAAGCGGAAAGCAGCTCCGCGGAGTGCAGGATAGACTGCATCTGGGCTGCATCTAGGGAGTGCTTGAGATGGGACTGGAGGTAGCCGTTGGCCACCGCAGTCACAATGGAAATCCCGATGCAGCCACCCATCACTCGAAACTGCGCAATCGCTCCCATAGCCACCGCTATTACCCAGGAGAACAAATAATCATCATTAGCAAACATTGACAATTGGAACATGTATCAGGGGCTCGACTAACCGCTGTCTCTTTTCTCGATGGTAAATGGTGTCATTAGAATTAGTAGGGTGAGATTGACACCACATCCGAAGCCGGCCAGAATCTGATATCCGTACTGCGCAGCAGGGATAGACAGAGACTCGGGCATGGTTCCCAGGAGTACGTAGCTGACCACCTGGAGCAACGATGCGGACAGCACAAGGTAGATCAGCGGTACCTTGAGTAATTTGCCTAATGCAGGTGCTGCGACAGAGGCCACCGGTGCGGCAACGGTAAAGGGGATGAACCGGACAGCCGCTTGAAGAGGTGTAAGCTGGTTCACGATCTGGAAGCGCTGCGGCAACTGGAACATGGTGCTAAACCACACTGCACCCAGACAAATAGAATTTCTTTTGCGACGTGGGTCATGAGGTTAGTTGGAAAAGAACATGAGGGGGAGATGGCGGTGGAGAGAACTTACAACAGCATCCCCATCCATACTCGGTTCCGGATAAATCTCCATGGGAATACCGGCTCAATGCACTTAGATGAAAGCGTGACTCGCCTTTCCCACAGCAGGAAAGCGATCCACACCAGCCCAGAGATGCTTAGAAGGGCTATGGTAAACGCCGAACTCCAATGGAACTCCTGGTTGGCTTCCTCTAGAGCTGTTACCAGAAAGATAGTAGCCACGAGAAGCATACTGGAGCCGAGCATGTCGACTTTTCGGATGGTTTGGCGTAAGGAGGCCCAAAGCGAGAATGCATTCTTGGCCATGGGCTGCTCGTTGTGATGGGGGAAACGATTCGGCAGGACAATAGCCAGTCCGATCCCGGCCAGAGCGCCCGGAGGATCATTCAAAAGAAACACCCAGCGCCACGTTGAAGACCCTGATATAGCACCTCCCATCAAAGGTCCACATAGCAGAGATACTGCGTACACAATAGAGAGTGAACTCATGTACGTTGCATACTTCTCCGGTGGAACCAAGTCCAAAATAATGGCTGCACAGATAGAATAGTTGCTGGCTCCGCCAATCCCCTGGAACGAGCGGAAGACGATACTACAGCATGGTGGGCATTGTGTGTCAGCTGGCCAGTAGATGAAGCATAAGTGATATAGATGGTGGGCACATGGTCACCTACAGCTGCTCCATGGTTTGGGCGGCGCCACAAGCCCCCGAGAAGACCACGAAGAGGAAGATAGCGACCAGCAAACTTGACTTGCGGCCAAAGACGTCACTAAATTTGGCAGAGATAACAAGAAGGCCAGCATATCCAAGCATGTAAGCCGTTGTAATCCAATAGATCTTGTTCAAGCCCCCAAGTTCTTCGGTGATGCTGATCAAGGCGGTCGTAACAATGGGAATCTCAAGATTGGTCAAGAACAGACACAGGGCGAGACTGGTTCATCAGAAGAATGTATCGTCAATAGAAATGGTTTTAATCACGTACGCAGCAGTAATGAAATGAAGTCTTGCTCTTTGAATGTAGGATTGCGGGCGATTGTCAGCCATAATGTCTTCCTTGAACTCTGCCATGATGACCGAAGCACTGATTTCCGGGTTTATCTTTGTGATGTCCGACAAAGTCATGATTTGTGCTGGGAAGAAAAATGTTAACACACACTTTCGAGAAGTTATAAGAGTTTGAAACCCTCTTTTATAGCATGCATGCACAGCCTCGAATTGTGACAAGGGTTTGAAATAAACACATGTGGTGCAGAAGAAAGCTCGTCTCTTTATATGCAATTCACTCAGGGGGTGTATTATACTTGCCTGGACGACTTTGCAGGGGTGCTTGTTGAACAAAAAATTGACAGAAATACTTCTACATATTCAACGGCTAGTGCTTCAAGATGATTCCTAAACTTTTCAATTTCATAAAAATAGTATAGATTTACTATTTAAGAACTCGGCAAAAGACTGGAAACATGCTCATTCTTAGCACTGAACAGCGTGAAGCACTTCTCGCTGGCCCAGCTGGGGCTCCTCCTCCCGGCACAGTGTCGAACTTGATAGACCCCCCAAACATGCATACGGTCGGGCACGCTGTGCATCTGGTCCTCTACATTACAGCTTTCATTTGCTTCGCTGTCCGTTTGTATAAAAAAGCTTTTCTAGTTCGACATATCAGGTTGTCTGACTGTGAGCTTTCGCTCTGAGATGCGCTTACACGTTCGAGAAAATGACAAAAGGTAGACATGATAATGCTTGCTTGGGTATGTCAACTGCCATCACCATGAACCTGTTATCTAAACACAGACTATGGCCTCGGAGTCGACCAGTAGAATATCACCCTAAGGACTTTATCAAAAAGCTATATGAGATTGACAGGCGGTGAGGCCCACCCAATCGATATTCCTAAACATCATTCGCAAGCGCTCCAGGCACTATCGACCCAACAGTTGGTGAGCGTGTGTGAGTGGCAAGGATTGCTTTTCCGGGCCCTTGTTCACTTGCACGGAGGAAGCAGCTAACCGCCGATCCCAATTCACTCCCACCACTCAGCCACAATGCGGCGAGATGCAGGAGTTGGTCTACGGCATTACATGTTTGCTCGCAATGCCTGATGTTCGTGTAGCATAAATTGACATATAACCTTTCGAGGAGTCTTGAATATCAAGCTTTTATCACTAGGAATTAGACCTGGGCGCGACGTGCCGGCGTCGTGGCCGACGAAACGGCCGCTGGTACCCTTCAGCATTACTATATCAAATCTCTGATAAACGGCTACGGGTATTTACCACACCGGAAGCCTTTGAGCGGTTGGCTGGTAGAGGATGGTGATGATAATAATGATGATAGTGCTCGATTCTAGGTCGCGGCTTATACTGCACCAGAGGCGACGAGCGATGAGCGGGACGTCGCGCAGTCGACCTTGGACCCTGCGTTGTTGGATGAATACGAGGCTTTGATCCGAGACCCCCTCACTGGTGATGACTTGCTCTTCAGAGACGATCCTTGATAGAGAAGTATCATGAATGGTGAAGGCTGTAACCACCAGCACTTAAGAATAATCCAGTCTATTAAACTAATTTCAATCCCGTGTAGTATTGTTAATGGTTCGACTTTTTGTTGAATTAGGTCATTAGGTCATAATAATAAAATCTCAATATAATAAATCAGTATTGAATTCAATATACCATCAACATACGGTTTCATAACAGCTATATACGCAATCTAAAAAGCCAAACACCATTAGCAGGTCAATACCCATCACCAAGCTTCATAATCTTAAGTCCTGCACTCCGCCACTGGAACCGAGTTTCTAAACGACCCAAAGCCTCAGAGCCGACCACCGCTTGCCTCCTTCAGAACCGTCTTCCACTCAATATCATGTACATCATCCGCATGGATCGAAATCTTGATATCCAGGGCCCTTCGCAGCTGCTCTTTGCTCGAAGCATAGAGCATCCGGCGCTATCCAGACCATCAGTTGCCTCCGCTAGCCCCAAAAACAGGATTATGAGAAGACTCACCCGCATCGGTGTGGCATCCGGCATCCAGCTTATGAACACCGTTGTTGCTCTGCGTGAACACAAACCCTTAGCAAGTGAACTTTCTTGGATGTCTAAATGTGTCCTCGAGAAACATTATTCTAATACGTACCTGCGACCGTCCTCATTCAAGTCGTACTCCACATCGTAGACCGCATACCGAGGTACCTGGTGGGCTTCCTCATCGACTGCCGAGGTGAGCTTCTCAAGGAACGCTTCGTAGCTTGTCTCGGACGACCGCTCGTCCACAATGATCGACCGCTCGTCGTCGGAGATCTTATACAGAACGAATTTGGGCTTGCGGGGCCCTCGCGTGAAGAGCAGCTCTCTGTATGCGGCTATGCATTCATCTGCGATGAGCACGCTTTTGGGGGATTGTGGTCAATTTTTGCTCATCAGAGCAAGGGTGGGTTTTGAGGCGGGCATACCCTGATGGAGTCTGGGAATCTCGTGGAGATGGTTAGTGGTCGAGATACCTGATTGAAGGTGAGATTGGACTGACCGACATGCTTGCTGTGCAACAGAAACTAAATTCTATTGAAAGTGGAAATTGGCAGGGACATACCTACCTACCCCCTCAAATATGATTGACTGATGCGATGTAGAGGTCGGGCTGTCGGGTCCACGGGTCCGGACGCCAAGGCCTTGGTGGTGTAGGGCTTGCTGGGCTTGGCGGACTTGGCAAGTGCCGGGCCGCCGGAGTCCCGGAGCCGCGGGTCCGTGGGCCCGGAATTCAAAAAAACTGTCATTGATGCAACACAGGAGATCTGTCTTGTCACTCAAACTAAATTATCGCTATGTCATCAGTCGGTGCAGAGGAGACTATCCAAGCTAGACGTCATCGACTCGCGCAAGTCCCTAGGGCGGTAAGGATCCCGGTCGAACGAGCCTCTTTCACGCATGGCTAATGATGTGTGGGGGCGCTTAGTGCGAAGGGTGTAAGATACGCAAGGTACGTGGTGTCTCTACACCAATGATTCTATCGTACCGTGTAAGCTAAGGAGGATGCTTCTAGATCCGGTGTGACCGCAGCACCCCATGTACAAACTGTCAAGCATCGAAGATCACATGTCGGCATCCGAACGACCGATCACGAACAGAGCGCCAAGCCGATAAGATAGCGAACCTGTATGTATGGCAAGAAGCCGAAACCCCAAGTATCTGGTAGCTATACTCACAACTGCCCACTTTTAGCGAAGCAGTCGTAGATCGGCTGGATAGACGTTGTCGTGAGGTCGAGTCGAGACTTGTGGCTTTGGAATCCGCGCGATTAGCTCCACTGGCGGAGCGTGAGGCTGATCAGAGGATCTCATCTGTCGAGCCCGGCCCTGTCGGAGGCCGCCTCTTCGAAGGAGATTCTTCGTTCGCAAGTCAGTCACTGCAGATGACCGAGAGTGCGCAGGACGCAGCACTCTCCGCCCCTGCAGGCGATGATCCAGCTGTTCATCACGCATTTTCTCGACTGCGGAGATCTCTCCACGACTCACATGAGGTATCCAGAGATAAATTCCATTTCAGAAAGTCCGTCTCCCAATCACCGCCACCGGTGAAGCCTCTTCCAGCGCCGCTGGTGAAGAGTCTACTGCGGAGAATGAGGGGTACGACGCCTCTTCCTCTGACACGCTGTGTGTAAAACAGCCTTGCGCACTAACTTGACCTGCAGTCCGTCGTCCCATTTTCCTCTCCTCGTATGCTATCAGTGACCTGCACGTGCTCGAGGATCTCTGCCACGGCGTCTATGCTACCAGTGCGCCGTCTGCCGGTCAGATTGCCAGCACCCATGGAGTCCTCCTCTTTGTGTTGAAGGAGTACGTCGCCATGAACGACGACCTCGGCCAGCGGGTCGATCTCAACGCACATCTCCATGAATGCGAGCACATATTCGTCGCAGCGCTGGAGCATTACGAGGTGCTTGTGATTCCAAGCTTCGAAAACATTCTTGCTTTGACGATGGGCGTGAGTGACCCGATTATATCTCCATCTTGCCTCTAAGCTCTTCGCCCGAGTTTTCTCACTAACCATTAACCTCAAACCCAGATGATCAAAGCCCAAGGCGAAGCCAAACCATCCCTATACTGGACACTCGCGTGCGCCGCCGCAACCCAGTGCCAATCCCTCGGGTACCACCGAGAAGCCAGCTATCGCAATATTCCGTCTGGCAAGGCGGACAGCATCCGGCGGCTGTTCTGGACGGTGTACTGCTTTGACAAGAACATGTCCCTGTTGCTGGGCCGGGTTTCCGGCCTGCACGGGCTCATCATCGACACGCGCTACCCATCCACGGCCACAGATCAGGCGCTGCGGCCGTGGGACGAGTCGTTCATCATGGGGATCCGATTGGCCGAGCTGCAGGACCGGGTGCTTACGGGCCTTTACTCTCCTGGGACGGTGATCAAGAATTCGTCCGAACGGGCCCGTCTTGTCCGTGACCTGGCAGCTGCTATGGACGAGTGGCGTGTCAAGTTTACGCAGGTGAGCAGCGAAACTTTTACCTGTGATATGCACACCAGCGAAAAGGGGCTAACAGCGTGCAGATCAACGCAGAGGCCGTCAACAACCCGCAGGTCTTCCACCTCTCCCGCGGCAACTGGGACATGGCATACTATTCGACCTTGACGCTGCTGTACCACGCCTCCTCCTCCACCACCACAGAGACTGGCCTCTATATCAGCTCGCAATGCGTGCACGCCGCCCGCAATAGCTTGCAGGCTCATCTCCAATGCTTTCCGCAGTATCAGGAATCGCGTCTTCTCTCGGACGGGGAATACATCAACTGGTTTGTCCCCCACCCCCAAAGTCTCCGCTTCCCCTTCCAACTCCAATCATCCTCCCCTTCAAAACCCCATAGACTAAGCAAATCCACTAGGATCCTTCTCTACTCCTCCTTCACCCCCTTCCTCGTCATCTTCCTCCACGCGATCGCCGCCAAAGATCCGGAGAGCGCCGCCCTCCTCCTCCGCGTAGTCGGCACGCTGGAGAATCTCCGGTCCCCATCCTCCCAACAGACCTCGGGCGCGGAGCGTCTGTATCAAATCTGCGCGACCTTCGCGCAACTAGCCCAAAAGCTAGTCGAGTCACCAGCCTTCGCCAGAGGGGTAGATAACCCGTCGGCGGATCCGCCCCGGTTGACGAATGAGGATGTGGCTGTGGGCGACGACGGCGCGGGCTTCGGGTTCCCGACGGAGACCTTTGAGGAGGTTTTCGGGGATGTGGACTTCAATCCCGGGGGGGATTTGTTGGGTGAGTGGATGGGTGGACAGCCGTTTTTGGGGAATTGGGTTGATCTTTAGGGGCGCTTACTCTAGGGGTGTGGTTGTGGTTCCAGTGGTGATCTAGTTATTATGTTCGGTGCTTTTCCAGTGTAATGCTGAATCTTAGAGCGCCTCTGCCACTGTGCAGACAGAGTGTTGTGTATATCCAGCCAATCCCTTTATTTGCCAAGCAACATCTGGATCCCAATTCACAGATCGGGATAATCTATACTCTACACCCTCAACAATGCCCTAAAATACATTCCAAATGAGATAACAATTCCCATCCATCCACGAATCAGCCCCCAAAAAAGCACCTACAACCCACAAACAACCCCCCACATCTCATCCCCCTCCAACGCCCGCATATCCTCCTCCCTCAACATAACCACCACCTCCACCGACTCCTCTTTCGCCTCTTCCACCATCTCTTGACCCTTACTCCACCTCCTAGGCAAAACCACCACCACCCCATCCGCCCCCTCCACAATCGGCATCCTCACAAACCCCACCCCTCCCAGCCCCCCTCCAAAGCCCACCTCATAAATCCCTGTCCCCGCCCAACTCGTAACCGTCACATCCCTACCCCCAAAGATATCCCACCCAGGATACAGCCCCCGATAATCCATCTCCCCAACAAGACAGCACAGTTCGGCAATAAACCGCTCCCCAATCTGCCCCGCAGCCTGGGACTGCGTGATGCAATCGCAGATGCCCGCTAGCCTCCGCACGGGGTCCATATCAGCGGTAGCCAGTGCGGGAGCAGGGTACCGGGCTGTGGCGTAGAGGACGAGATTTCCCAGGTACCCTGGTGCGAGGTTGGGGAGGCGGTTGCGGCCGTTGACGGCTGTTGTGAGGGTGCTGTTGCTGTTCTGGGTGATGAGGCGTGGGGTGCGGTGGGCGCGGACGCGGGTGATTGTTGTCCAGAGGAGGGCGGTGAGGAGGGTGTTGATTGTGAGGGTTTGGGAGGTGTATTTCTGGCATAGGGTGCGGAGGGTCCGGAGGTGGTGGAGGCTCAGGGTGAAGAGCTTGGAGGTGCAGGGTTTGAAGTCCCCGGGGAGAGAGGGCGGGGTTGTCGAGAATTCGGGGTGGAGGGGGAGGAGGGCATTTGGGTTGGTGGACTGGGATGAGGAGAGGGCTTGGATGGCTGGGGTGAGGGCGTGAGAGAGTTGGGTTTGTCGAGTTGACTGGGGAAGGTTGGGGGGCAGCGCATCACCAGTGGTTGTGGTGGCAGTGCTGGTGGCTTGCGCCCACAATCGGATGACCTCGGTGAACCCGGTGGCGTCGACGGTGTGGTGATGCAGGCAGATACACAGCCCTATGCCGCGGTCGATGAAGCGGAAGACGCTGGCGGCGAAGACGGGGATGCCGTGCTCCATATCCTCCGAAAGCATGGCTAATACAGGCCAGACATACCCCGGGATGGCTTCCGGGGGCATGTTCTGCGCAGACAGAGTCGCGTAGGATGCTGCGATTGTGCCCTTGTCTTCCAGCGTTGGGGTGTCTCCTGTGTGCGAACGGATCTCGAGGGTCGGTCGGCCAGAGACGTCAGCAGTGCGGAAGATTCGTCCTGACAGCCAGGGAACTTGTTTGGATAGTTGCTCGAGACCGTTTTGGAGGGTGTGCAGGGTGATTAGGGTTGAGTCTGCTTCGGGGCCGGGGAATGCCAGAAGGACCCGAATGTAGGTGTTTGGCATTGCCAGGTCCAGCGGAGTCAGCTGCTCGAAATGGTCGTGCTCAGTCATGATCGATGGTCTGGAAGAAACATAGGATGATTCTGAGAGGTTGAGCTGAAGGTATGTCAAGTAGCAGTGTCTGTCTTATACAAGTTGATTCCACCCCTAAACCGGTCCCACGGGCCCGAACGCCCGTCCGGCCGGCACAGCCAACTGGCCACGATACCTCATCACGCTCAATAGACGAGCAATTTATACTCTAAATTCGAGAAGGGTGTCGATGAGTCAACTCTCTGGCTGTGAAAGAGAAAATCAGTCTCAATGGTGAACGCAAATTGCGAGAGAAGAATTGGTATCCCGTGGTAAGATGCAAGATGAAGGTGCCCTATATTTATATTCTCCCCTTTGCTGTTTGTGTTCATGTCGGCCGCAGAGCAGTTAGGAGAGAATTCGAACCACATGTCATCCGGATAGTGCAGTAATCTCCTTCATCTGAAGAATGCACTGTAGGAGGTTTTGTTCGGCCTTAGAAATGTAATAAGTCCAGCGACATCATCCTGCTACTAAAACCACTGTCACGAATCTAGCCCACCAGTCAGTCATCCTCACCGACGGCCTGTATATAAAGTGTGACACGGAGACTTTCTAGAAACAACAATCACCCGCGAGCTGCATCACATGACGTCACGTACAGGAATGGATACAACCTCAAGCAATCTAGTCACTAGGTGATTGGGAGTCGGAGCTTAAGCTAATGGTGGGTCTTGTGTTTTGACTAGGGGGTTCATTGGCTCTGGCGCTTCTTCACGCCACCTAGTAGCCTACAATATTTTGTATGAGTGCAAGCAGGGATGGGGTCGAGAGAGAAGCCCCGCGTGGGCCCCTTTGGGAAAAAAAACATTGATCATGAATTATCCGCCCCCTGGACCATGAGCACAGATCCATTGTGTGGAATACTTTCGTCCAGTGCCCGGCCGGTGCTGGGGCTGATAAGCATAAGCACGCCAACGCCGCCCCGCCCGGAAGGATCCATCCCGCTATAGTATTTCTGATTGAAATATATGAAGATTCCCAGCTGAGGCCATGGAGCGGGGCATTACAAATCCAGTGTGCATTTACTATATTCACTGTTGATCTTTCCACCGTCTGTCTCTATCTTTACCTTCCCACCCCCCCTTCCGCCTCTCTCTTTTCTCTCTTCCACTCCAAACTGTCCTCGCTGAGGTGTAAACTTTGCAGCGCCTACACCGAACCATCTCACCTGTCATCGCTGTCAGAATGGAATTAAAACCCGTAATCAATGCCCTCCTGGGGGTCGCCATCCTCTATGTTTTCTTCCGCTTGGTATTATCATTTCTCACTGCCCGCCGCAACGCGGCAAAAGCGCGTGACCTTGGCTGTAAAGAGCCCCCAGTCGAAAAGAACCGCTGGCCCTTCGGAATCGATAGTGTGCGACGCTCCCTTGAAGCCGATCGAGCCCAACAATTCCCCGCCGATGTCCTCCAGCATTTCCAGGAGCTCGGAACATATACCTACCGCTACAACGTTCTTGGTAGGTATTGCTTACAAGACTCACGTTGAGCTGTCCTCTCAGCGGTGTATGCCGTTGCTCACACGTTCCCACCACAGGCTCGAAGAATCTTCGGACGGCAGACCCTCGAAACATCCAAGCAATTTTAGCAACTCAGTTCAATGACTTCGGTGAGTATGCACCGATAGGCTTTTTTAGACTTGTCATACTGATCATGCAGATCTTGGACCTACAAGACGGGGCAATTTCTTCCCCATGCTTGGCGATGGCATTTTTACGTCGGACGGAGCATACTGGAAACATTCCCGGGTATGTTGCTCTGCTAAGCCAGGCCAGCACCCTCTTCCACGGTGTAACTCATACTCACGGATTGTAGGCCATCATGCGACCGCAATTCACTCGAGACCAAGTGAGCGACCTGGACCTGGAGGAGACCCATATGCAGAACATGATGCGCGCCCTGGAGCCATTGATCACGACCGACGGCTGGATTGAGAAAGTAGACCTCCTTCCATATTTCTTCCGCCTGACGCTGGACTCGGCCACCCAATTTCTCTTCGGAGAGTCCGTCAACAGCCAGCTGCAGTCTCTCCAGCAGACCGACGAGAATGACAAGAGCGAGGAGAGCCAAGAGGCCAAGTTCGCGCGCGCGTTTGATGCCGCCCAGTCGGCGCTCGCCACCCGCCTCCGGTTCATGGACCAGTACTGGCTCTACAACTCGCGGGAATTCCGGCAGGCGTGCAGCGTGGTCCACGAGTTCGTCGACCATTTCGTGCGCCTCGCCCTCTCCAAGAGTCTCCGCGCGAAGAAGCTGCCCTCCCAAAACGAGCCGTATGTCTTCCTCGAGGCCCTGGCGGCGGAAACGCAGGACCCGCTGGAGCTGCGCTATCAACTGCTGAATCTGTTGCTGGCGGGCCGGGACACAACCGCCTCGCATTTTGGCTGGGGTAAGCATCGCCGAAGTAGCAGTGCTACTGTCTCCTTCTTTCCTCCGGACCCTTGGATGATGAAATCTACGAACCAACCCCTAACCCACCAATCCTAGTATTCTACGAACTCTCCCGCGATCCCGAGCGCTACAGAAAACTACGCGACAACATCCTCGCCGACTTCGGGCCCTACGACCAACCGCAGGAGATCACCTTCGCCAAGCTCAAGGACTGCAAGTACTTACGGTATGTGAATGACGAAGCCCTGCGCCTGCACCCGGTGGTGCCCTTCAACGCCCGCTACGCCAACAAGGACACCACGCTCCCTTACGGAGGTGGCAAGGACGGGAAATCCCCCGTCTTCGTCCCCAAGGGGTCTACGTGCGACTACGGCGTGTACGTGATGCATCGCCGCAAGGATCTGTGGGGCGCGGATGCGGACGCCTTCCGGCCTGAGCGGTGGGAGGGCAGGAAGATTGGCTGGGAGTATTTGCCTGTATGTCCTGACCCTTTTACCCAGGAAACACTTTGGAACAGCAATCCACTAACCAGACTTCTTCGTGTTAAGTTCAACGGCGGCCCGAGAATCTGTATTGGCCAGCAGTTCGCCCTCACTGAAGCCAGCTACGTGACGGTGCGGTTGCTGCAGCGGTTCGATCGGATGGAAATTTTGGATGCGACCGAGGTTCTCCGGCATAATCTGACCTTGACTAATTGTATTGCCAATGGGGTCAAGGTGCGGATGCATGCTGCGTGAGAGGGGTGTGTGGAGCATAGTGAGACTCTTCCTTTAATCACAGCAAACGATTGCAAGGAGGTCTCCACATCGAGATTAATGCTGTGAAGCTGTCCCACTAGTTATCCGGCTTGCGCTATTTGATGCTCAATCAGAAACAACCAGCCTGTTATTATCTTCAATTCTATTGGTAACTCTCTCGACAGATGCCAGTGCATCACTAGCGACCGAATGGTCTCCATTATTGGGGGGGCTTGCGTACTCCCCAGGCCGACTGATTCGACGTCTCGGATAAGACTGAGTAGAACAAGAGGACCCAGAGTGGCCACTGCTACCTTACGTAGCGCAAGTATCATACTGCTGAACAGATAGAAGAGATCTCCTCATCTAGCCCAGGATTCAACTGTTATGGTCGAAGGCTATTTGTTGCCTCGTCTAACTCCACCCACCGTCCCCACCCCCACCCCGCCCAGGTCTCTCGATCACGTGAGCGCCACCCCTTCTCGCATTAGGGCTATGAGGGTTTCTTCCAAGGGTCGAGGTACGAAGTGTTAGGTGGATCTCTGGATATAGTATTAACTTACCCTATGCTCTATCTTGGAAATGTGTATCTCGGGGCTTAAAGTTATTGAAAAGTCCCACACATAAGTTTAAACTCTTCAAAATGTTCTCAGTCAGTTCATGAAGGTCGACCTGGACCCTCTTCGGAGCTGATAGCCCGCCAACTATTAGCTGGGATCTAGCTTAATACAACGAACCCTAACTAAAACAGCTCCCCAGAATGTAAGACACTTGCTTCATGAGAAGTGGTCTTAGACCAGAAAGCGCAGCCGGTAGATCCCCTGCCGTGTAAGGCCAAGATCTTGAACCGACCAAACGGAATTCCAGGGAATCTGATGCCCGTCATTTCATCCTGTTTCAGAACTCTCGCTCGTCCTCCGACATTCACTGCCATCGCATCCCTGTTGTCTTGATGTCGTTACAAACCTGATCCCCATTCCCCTCCCAGCCTGCGGAGGAACCTCCGTGATAGCTATCTTTCTTGTCTTCTCTTTTTCGTCCCGTTCCCTTTCAAATCTACCCAGCCACGAGACCGGAATATCTATCTGGATGCCGCAATATCCATACCACTGAACGCCCCATAATAATCCGGTACCTTGCTGCGCGATAAGACCTCATGGATCAGTAAGTAGTCCCAACTCTACCCCCCAACCTCCATACATTCCACCCGCAGGATAGATCATCTTCTAGGGTACCTAATCTCACCTATATGGCCTGGAAGTCCAGAGAGAAAACTAAGATGCAATTCAGCCGCAGCGCATGTTCAAGCATTTTTCGTCAACACAAACTGATCTCACGACGATAAGGTAGAATAATCGAGGGCACTGAGCCTGCGGCATCCGAGTGAGAGATTGCAGACAACTCAAATCACATTAAACGGCTTAGACGCAGGGCGCTATATTAGATTTGCTAGAGATGCGCGGCGTTTATTCCATTAATCCGGATTGCCCGCTGCTTGGCCCGGATTATTGCTGCTGTGATGCTAGCGGGCGAGTTGGGTATTTATTTAGTGCCGACGGCGGGCCACTTAGTAAACGCGCACATGCAGTATAATCAGAGTTCGGCGGCGTCGGGAAAGAAATAGGTTCGAAATGGAGAGAGACATTGATTTTGTATGCGTCCCTTTTGTTGTTGCGTGTCGGACGAATGTACGGTAGATGAGACTGTATGTTATACTGAGAGATCAATTATATGATCACTAAGGGGTTGCTGGCATGAAACTATACCCTGAATCATTACGCGATCGCTTATGAAGTGTAATGTCATGGTTGTGTAGAGGCAGCGGTACAGCACTGTCGATGTGGTAGGCCTCTGAGGCGCAGGAAGTGGGGTGTAAGCCCAATCTTCGGATCCTCAAGTTCCTAGTCCAACGCTCGTTCAGAAGATCTTGCCCAATGTTTTGTCAATCTGTACTGTATCTGGTGAGTAAGGAAGGAAAGCCTTCGGTAGTGACTTGTAGATTGACCTAACCCGACCCATCTAGCCCTAGTTCGCCTCCCCACCCCCTCAATCCCTTTCTCCCTCATCTTACTTATCTTTAGGCCTCGCCTACCCTCTCGCAACCCCCTGAAATTTCCAGAAATTTCAATGGCAAGCACCGACCTAAACGGCTGTATCGTCCAAGTTACCGGCGCAAGCACGCTGGCCCTCAATTACACCTCTCACCACTCCATACTAGACTACGTGTCCGGGGAGATCGGCCCCTGTGAAATACTCCATTTTCTTTCCCATGCCTTCGCAACGGGATACTCGATGACCTATTTTTCTAGCCCCCAATCGTATATTCGTAGCGGCAGGAGCCCCCAGAATGGTCTGTAGGAACGTCCAAATCATCATTTCGTACCCGATGGCCGGACAATGGGTCCACAAAAGCACCGGCTTCCCCGAATTGACACGATTTTCAGTTCGGAGAGTAGTCGGATCCAGCAAATATCAATTTCTCAATTCCAGCAATTATGCCTAAGATATGCATTGGCTGCAATAGATAGCTTTGCAACTGGATTGGGAAACCCGCCCCCCCCCCGCACAAAGCTCGGGCCATCCACCCATTCAGGGGCTATGATACGCCCGCGCCGCGATCGGAGACAACGTATCAACCCCCTATGATCCGAAAATCTCCTTACTACAGACAATGTGTAGGTAAGGAGTCGGACGCAGTCACACCCCACAATGTTCAACTTAATAACACGGGTCCGCACATTTCTCGGCGACCAGGCCGCCCCTCCCCCAGGCCCCTTGAGCTTGCCCAAAGTCGCCATCCTCGGCCTCCCCGACGCCGGCAAACGGGCCCTCCTCCAGCATGTCAGCGACACCCCTCTCAGCCCGATAACCGTACACGAATGCCATGCGGGCTGGACGAGCAGCAGCCCCTCCCGCGAACTAAGCTTCATCGTCGCGGACGTGGGGCTAGATGCCCGATTACGCTGGCGGGCAGCCGTCGCCGCGCGGTACGCGGACGCAGAGGCCCTGATCATCGTGGTCAACTCCGCCCACGCGATCGCGCTGGAGGAGCTGCGGTACCAGCTTGGCTGTCTGGTCCACGGGAGGATGGAGTCCGGCGAGATGCAGACGTACTGCATTGCCAGGAAGGGGATCCCATGGCTGGTGCTGGTGAACTTTGAGGGGGGTGCCGTGGTTTGTGACCTTCCTGGGTATGCTGGCCCGTGTGATTGCTAATCGCTTGTTGGGTTGAGTATGTGTAGGATGAGGGGATTGCAAAGGAGCAGGTTGATTGCTTGGGGCTGGATGGGTTGGGTGTTGATTGGGTGGGATTCCTCTGCTTTCTGTCTCCGACGGAGGGTTTTTGGTGGCAAGACACACGATTGACAGCTGGCAGGTATTTCGTCCCATCTCGACGGCGACTGGGGAAGGGATTGAGGAGCCAATCTCCTGGCTGAAGGGGAAGATTCACGTCAATGCTCAGCGCCGACTGCAGGAGATGAATTAGGGTTCCGCGGTTAGATGAGGATGGTTCAACAATACATTTCCTGTCCGAGCACGGCTCAAATCTTCGTCTTTTGCGAATTGACAAGAAAATATCACCTCAAGCTCACTAACAGCAGGGTTTGAGCATGAACAGCATTAAGACCGCCACTGCACTACAAGGAAGTACAGAAGATTCACAATCAACTCCCACCAGACCCAACCGTCACCCAAGCTACTCGCAGCCCCGCCCAGACCGAAGCTGCATCGCAAACAGACCCGCGACAGCAACACCAAGCATCCCCAGCAGTATACCCCAGAAGCCCCGCCCTGCAGCCCTATCCCTACCCCTATTCCCCACAGACTCGACATCCCGCTTAACCAGCTGCGCAACCAACTTCGCTCCCGTAAGCCAGATCGGCACGCCCGTCCCGGGATGCGTACTCGCGCCGACGAAGTACAGCCCGCTGATGCTCGCGTGCTTCATTGCAGGCCGGAAATTCAACATATTGCCGAAAGAGTGCGACAGCCCCAGGATCGCGCCGCACGAGATTGAACTTAGTCCGCCACGTTAGCGGGGTCTCGTACTTCTCGTGGAGGATGTGTGCGCTGAGGTTCCGGATCCCCGTGCGGGACTCGATGGTGCGCAGGACCAGCTCGCGGGTATGTGCGACGATCTCCTCCCCCCATTCATCCTGGCGACTCCCTTCTCCGGAGCTGCGCAGACTGCCCACCGGAACCAGCACGACCAGCGCTTCCTTGCCCTCCGGCGCGGCGGTGGGATCGATCCGGCTGGGGACGTTGACGTAGAAGGACGGGTCGGCGGGAATGCTGTGATGGATGAAGATCGCGTCGAAGCTCTCGCGGTAGTGCTCGGCCAGGAAGATGTTGTGCGGGCGGAGTTGGGGCAGCGGCGTGTCCACCGCCCAGAAGAAGGAGATGCTGCTGCAGGAGGTCGCGCGTTGCGTGAGCGCGGCGGCATACGGGCAGGGCGGGAGGAGGTGGGTGTAGGCGTAGACGAGGTCCGCGTTGACGATGACGACGTCCGCCAGGATCTCTTCGCCTGAGTGCAGGCGCACGCCCCGCGCAGTGTGCTGGTCGTCGGAGAGGAGAATGCGAGCCACTGGGCTGCGTAGCCGGTATTCGACCCCCTGGGTTTGGCCGATGTCGGCGAGCGCTTGGAGGACCTGTTCGCTCTGGCTTAGTGGACTGAGATTTGCGTGAATGGGAGGAAAGACACATATTCAGAGAGGGGGTTCGTTGTTCATTGCGTGAAGAGGTCATGAAGGCGTGAACATCAAGTCTTAGAATGGACAGTCTCGAGAATGCGACGACAAGACTCAGCTCAACTCAACTCACCCGCTGAAACCCACCGCGCGGATACCAGATCCCGTCGACCGTCTCCGAGCACTGCAGCAGCGCGTATGTCCCCGGCGCCTCGTACGGACTCATGCCCATATACATCGAGGCAAAGGTCCAGGCCTGCCGCATCTTGGTGCTGGTGAAATAGTGCTGCGCTCGGCCGTACATGGTCGTCCAGGGACGCATGGCCAGCAGCATCCCGAAGACATTCGGCTGACAGAGGAGGGCGCGCAAGGACGGATAGTGCCGGCGCAGAACATACTGCACCGTCAGATCATAGTAGCGACCCGTCTCCTTGAGGAGGTCCAGGAGTTTGGAGAAGCCCTGGGGGCCTTCGAGGCGCACAACCTCGCGCTTCAGCTTCGAGAGATTCGACGACATCTCCAGGGTATCGTGGTCGGAGAACCAGATACAGTAGTTGGGGTCACATTGCAGTAGCTCTACACCCTCTGCTTCGAGCGAGGTCCCGAGGTCGTCGAACGTCTCGCTGAAGATCTCTCGCATTAGCAGCAGCGAGGGGCCTTGGTCGAATCGCTGTGGTTAGTGTTAGCTGAGAGAATGGGAGCCCCAAGAGAGAGAAACTTACGTATCCGTCTCGATGCTGCAGCGAGCATCGGCCGCCCAGGAAATCGTGCTGCTCGAGAACGGTCACCCTGAACCCATCGCGAGCAAGTCGAGCGGCTGTTGCAATGCCGCCGGTGCCGGCTCCTAGTGAGCGTGCGTTAGAAATGACGACTCGATTCTTGTTGCATTGAGGCTTGCTTTCTTCAGAGGTATGATGGCAAAAGAACCCCGAGGGTTGACATACCGACTATAACAACCGATGGCTTTTTCATAGTTGTGGTGAATAACGATATAAAAAGTGTGGTTTCTGAATGGCTATTTGAGATTGGGGTTAGGGCTATACCAAGTCAACTGGTAGATAGCTTCCGCACCATGGGCATACATGGAGTGGTGATAGCTTCAACATCACATTCCTGGAAAATAAGACAGGAAGAGTCTGGACATTTTAGGCCTACCGTGCAACATTTAGCAGTCTTTCACGTCAAAGAAAAGCATCTAAGCTCACGTGGAGACGATATGACAGCAATGGCAGAAGAGTTAAACACTCCAAACATGCAATAGACGCTAAGAATGAGCACTCAGCTCGGTGGCATACAAACTTCAAAGGGATTCCTTCGTGACACAAAAAGCAGATGTCTGTCAGCAGAGTGGTCTCGGAGAGAAGCTATAACCACGTCTGGCGCCCTACAGTCACACCGACGCTTCACGGCTTGTTGCATAGTTGTATGTGGTGTACTATATGTCCATTCGTGGTGTATTAGAGTGTACAGTGCGGTACGACATGGTACATGCAGCCCACGACGTTTGGAGTTTAGTGATGAAGTACAAGGCTGCGCGTGACCCGGAGTACATGCCCTAATGGTCTACAAGTACTGTAAGAACCCAGGTGATCTGAGCCATCACGCATGCAGTGTCCATCACCAGGATAGCGACCTTCTGCAGGCAATATCCGAAAGGGCTTATTTATATGACTCGTGTAGTAAGATTTTCTTGCTGGATCGGCTTCACATGGCGGTTAGGAATGCGTAGCGAGCCCCCCTCCCATTGCGCATATATGTCCTAGCGAATAACTCTTCCAGGCGCTGCAGTGCGGATAGAGGCTTACTGAGAGGCGGAGAGAAATTAAGCCCTTCGATTATCGAATCAAGCGTTAGACAAGATAACATTAATGGTTTTCCTTCGATCATACGAAAGGTGGTTTTTAGTCAAGTAAAATGCCCCCTCGAAACTTGTTCTCTGCTATGTTTGAGACTATCAAGTCCTAGCCCGTTTAATGATGCTGTCCAAGTAGTCACGCTGTACTTCAAGTCCTCAACCCTAAGGCCTTGTTGACATGGCGCGAAAGGCAATCACCGCACGGCGCAACAAGGGAAGCCGCAGTTTCTCACCCGGAGGCGCGCGATCCCCGCGCTGAAGTACCGCCCCGATCGCCATGTAACTTGCAATGGTGATCCGTAGAGGGCCCTGCACCATGGGGGGCAGGAATGCTAGGGCGCCGACTGCCTCGTCATGCAGCTTTTGTGCCTTGAGGAGGAGGCGTCTCCTCAACCGTTCCACCGGAGCACTATCCGGATTGTCCAGGACGTCTGCCGGGGTGTTGCCCTCGTGCTTGAGTCAGGCCGTGGGAAGATAGACCCGGCCGATCCGCGCGTCCCGATCGATGTCGCGCGCGATGTTGACCAACTGAAGGCTTTGGCCCATTTGCTCGCCGGCTGCAATCATCGCTCGCCGCGTAGTGGCATGGTACCCCGACGCATGATGGGGGAAGTGGTGGAACACGAGGTCCAACACGCTGGCGGCCACGGTGCCTGCGACGTGATAGGCATATCGGTCTAGATCCTCTTCGGAGTCGATGGGGAAACCACTGCTCTCGCGGTCGAACTTGGTATCGGTGCGGAACCCCTCCAGGAGACCTTGGAGAGGCGAAAGGCGCAGTCGGGAGGCCGGGAGAGCCGCTATCGCTTCACTCAGTTCCGAAGACTTAGGTTCCCCCTGCTCTTCCCAGTCTGGTGAGAACCGACGGGCTAGCTGTGTTCTGCAATTGTTGATGGCTGTCACTGCTGTAATTTGGTCTGGAGCGTTGTCAATCAGGTCGTCGGCGATCCGACAGAAATAATATCTGAGGCTCTTGTCAGCGGGTGGTTTCGTGTTTTATATGGGTCCGAGATCTCGTACAGAAAAATGAGATCAATGCGCAGAGGTCCCTGGAACATACTGCTTCCCATGTACATACTCTGACTACTGGTAGCCAAACATCGAACTGCCTTGCTCAGGCGAGCCACAAAGTCAGGATCTAGTTTCTGTGGCGAGAAAACGAAGTTCCGAAATATTTGCCCGTAGGAAGGAACGCCGTGGATACTCGACTTGGATTGAGCGAGCTTGCCATCGGTTAGGGCTATGGTAAAGTCGATTGCGGCAAACCCGAACACGATTAGTACGTTCGTTAGGAGAAAGAAGACGGCTTCTCTATGCGCTAGGTCATTATCGCGACTCTCTGTCAAAGTGCCCAGCTGCTAGCACATACTCGATATCCATATTTCTCCATACCTCCCAGCCCAGTTTCGTGTCATCCTCGATGACCCACGTTCCTCGCCGCATTGGCAATGTGTCCACTGTCCATAGGAACATCGTTGGGAGCATTACTGACAGAAAAGTCTCGCGGCGAGGGAGAGCCAATATGAAGTGGCCGGCGATTGCCCTTGATGTACACGCATCAGATCTAGCGTGTTGTCTTAGCCGTAAAGGCAGTAACTCTTACCACTGAGCCAGCAAGAACGGACAAGCCCAAACCAGAATCAACCCCATGTAGGTGTACCGACCTCCATCTAGGAGGTATTTGACACCTATGGCACCAGCCCAAGCCAGGACCAGGATTCCCACGCTGAAGGATTTCCCACCTGCTGGTCGCACAAAGGCAGGGAACACCAATTGACGGGTGAGTATGGTGTACAGCATACCTGTGCTGTATGTCTGGATGACAAAAAAGAAGACCTCTTCCAGAGGAATGGAACACAATGTGTAGCCGGTCACGGCTTCCCGGGGGTAGGTCCAGATCCGGCGGCGCACAAGGTATGAATCCCACGGAATCGTGGCTGTGAGTGCTATCTACCCACAATGGTCAGATTTTGTGGGTGGGGAGAGAAGCTGCGAAAGCAAAGACGCCAGATTATGAGGTAGCGTACCGTGACCATGGTGAATATTCGCGCCCAGTCCAGGCGCGTCATGAAGGGCCAGAAGGCAGCGGTAAGCCCGACTGCCACTGGGACGTTGTAGATAACATGGCTGCCATGGTCAGCGTACGATAACGCACGAAAGAATAGCAAATTCAACCTACACCATTACATAGTCGTAGCCCATTCTGTCTGTGTTTCTGCGCGTGTTACACTGATTTGAGGCAAAAGTCCGACCGCCCAAATTCCAAGTATGATAGCACGCCGGTGGGATGTTGTTTGAATATATAACTTTGTCGTCAGAACAACCAGGGTTGACGTAGCAAGGTCTACGAGACTTGGCAGCTGGACAGGTCGCACACGATGCATCTGGCCCAATGGGGAGTAATGTTTCTAGATTTTCTGAATTTTTGAGGATGAAACTGGCGACAACTGATCAAATCTTGGGCCAAGCCCCAAGTTTGTCTTTTCTTCTCCTTGCATCTATGACTTTGATAACATACATATCAATTGCACATATCTACACGTACGCGCATGCTTACTTAGTCCTAACTTCTGAGTCCATATAACCTTTAGTCATAGGACCTCAAAATTGATCATAGTCACTTCGATTAACGAGCATGAGTTGACGATTCGAGGTTTGTAGTAGATTTTTGATAAAATTAGAGCTTTTATGCTGTATGCTGTTGGAGCTGCGAAGATAACATTCGAAGTAGGAAGAACAAACTACAGAAATCGCTTTACTAGGTACACATTTGCAAGTGACGGCGGCCCTGGGGCCTTGGTGCCTGAGGTGCCAGCTCACCGCCCACCCGGCTGCCTTAGCTAGTTCTCCGATAGCCTCACGTAGAGGAATCAACAAGCCTTCTCCACCTCTCAGAGGCGTCATCAGCAAGGTTATTGAACAGGCCAGCATCTTGCTAGTCAGAGTGAATATGTTTGCCTACCAAAAAGTGTCTAATGCTTGTTTCAGTATATGCAGCCTTGCATTTAACTACCTACTGAATAAATTTGAGATCCCCAGGGGCATAAACTCAAAGCTGGTGGTCTGATCTGGTATCCTCGATATCCGAATCTCTTGGCATTCTCCGCGGGCTCCGCGGGCTCCGAGCCCGGGCCAATCGTGCATCGATTATTATAAGACAAGATATCCATCCTTGTAGACAATCTATATATGTTAATCTATTGTGTACAATAGATTTACAGTTGTGTTGAATTAGCTAGGCAAGCTTACGCAAGATGACCAATCAAACCGCACCAGTCTCTCACGATTACTATCCTTCAACAATACACCTACCACACTATGCAACCAACACAACCCCCGTCTTCTCGCTCATCGCCCAATTTGGTATCCTTTGGATTGCCGTGCTTGGAGTCGCTCTGATCATCATCCGCCGCGCACGACCTAATGCGAGTCGATCAGACCAGTTTGCATTTGAATGGATGTGCCTGAGTATGTACCCTATCCTCGCCTCGACGAACCTTTCAGTCAGATACCCCATGCTAAGCACGTAAGCCCCGTGCAGCGGGATCCATCCACCTCTTCTTCGAAGCCTACTTCGTCATCAACCATCAATCCCTCGCCAGCTCGCAGGACCTCTTCGGCCAGCTATGGAAGGAGTACTCCCTCTCTGATTCGCGGTATCTGACGTCGGACGCATTCCTTGTGTCCATGGAGGCCGTCACCGCCGTACGTCCTGCCATCCCTATCCAGACTGCACGCAGCAAGCCAGAGAAGCTGATAAATCTTGCAGTTCTGCTGGGGCCCGCTCGCATTCTTCGTCGCCTATTGCATCGCCGCCCAGCACCCCGCTCGCCACGCCCTGCAGCTCATCATGTCGCTGGGACAGGTCTACGGCGATGTGCTGTACTATGCGACGAGCTTGTTCGACCTCTACTACCACGGGATGGAGTTCTGTCGGCCAGAGGGTTATTACTTCTGGTTTTATTACTTTTTCATGAACTTTATTTGGATTGCTGTGGGGTCTTGTGAGTATTGTCTTGATATTCTGCGGTGTGGGCTGTAGGGTTTTGCTGATGTCTCGCAGATTATGCGTGTCAAAGTGCGGTGGAAATAACGCGGGCTTTTAGAAAGCTGAGTGAACTCGATCAGAAGCGCAAGTCGAACTGACCGATGTGAGAGCTGGTTACGCATTTTCGCAGAATGAAGTTTGCCTCTGCTGTGACCGGATGTATATTTGAACGAGAAGGAGGATCGTTTGCAATATGTTCTGCGATACTGGCTTTCAAAGGAAGACAATTATTCGCGTGATTAATCTTTTCATGTAGATATGAGTCGCTCAAAGACCCTCATTCGCTTGTGGTGAAGTCCCCCCCTGAAATTGCTCGGCAATGACAGCTGTTGAGCTCGGGTAACCCGGCTCCAGTCGACCGGCTTGGCGGTGGGGACGTTATAGCTTAGCTTTCTTGGCTCTAGTTCAGCCCTACTACTCTGCCGCGGTAGCTAAGTTGGGTATAGATGTTTCGACGCTCATTTATACTGGGACAATGATTGGTGAACTGTCTCCAACTGTTTCATTTATACACAACTCATTTGTCAGGTTGCGCAGGGCATTCCGCTCCTACAGTAGTTGGCTGTCGGTTCTCACACTAGTCTCAGTCCTCGAAATAAAAGCCCATCCCTCGCTTTCACTCAACCGGTTTAAATCTTGCTGAACTTCTACCCGCCTCAAAAGTTTCACTCAGGATGTCGCCCTTAAACTCACTTTTTGTCGCGCTTGCCTCGATTGGAGCATGTTGTGCTGCGTCCCTAGCATCAAACTCAACCTTCGAACCCCGCTACCCTGATGCAGCTGTCGAGACAGTGGATGTGGTGATCGTCGGTGGTGGAGCCTCCGGGGCCAATGCGGCTGTCCACTTCCATGATGCCGGTCTCTCAATCAGGGTTGTCGAAAAACAAGGTCAACTGGTATGAAACCTCTCTTCATTTATGGACCATGCTTTAATCACTGTGGTTCTCACCCTACAGGGCGGAATGGTCAACAGCTGGACGAATCCCGCCACTAATACCACTTACGACTGTAAGTACAATCATTGACCACCATCCAATTACACAATTCTGACAGCATGTCGCATCAGACGGCGTAGCGGCATACACTAACTACACCGGCACGACCGCATTCTTCGACCGGCTCGGCATCAACTACGTGGAGCCCGACCTGGGCAGCACCACCTTGACCACTACCTACGCAGACTTCACCACCGGCAAGCCCGTGAATTACCTCGCTCCCAATATCACCGACGAGTTCGCCGCCCTGGAAACATTTTACAATGTCTCCAGTCAATACCAGGATCTCTTCCTCCCATCCTACGCCAAGTGGCCCGCGCCCGAAGATATCCCTGAGGACCTGCTAATGCCCTTCCGCGACTTCGCCGCCAAGTACAACCTAAACGCGACCATCTTCGTAAGCCCACCACCAACCTTTCCCCACTCACAAACCCCCTAACCATCGTCCCGGCTAGCTCATCTGGTCCGGCATCGGCGCCGGTCTAGCCGACATGCTCGACGCACCCACCCTCTACCAAATGCAGACCTTCGGGCCTCAAACCGCCGCCGCCTTTCTAGGTCAAGACCCGGAATACGTCCCCGCCTCCCACCGCAACCAGGACATCTACGACGCGGTCGCCGCCCTCCTGGGCGATTCCGTCCTACTGAACAGCACGGTGATCGATTCCATCCGATACCCCGACAACCGGGGCGTTGAGCTGGTTGTGCAGAACCACAGCACCCAATCCCACACTATCATCCGCGCCAAACGCCTCGTAATGGCCATTGAGCCGACAGCCTCCAACACCACCCCCTTCGACCTGGACACCACCGAGAAGAGCATCTTCGACCAAGGAAAATGGAGCGTCGTCCACACGGGCATCATCTCCCACCCCGCACTACCAGTCAACGGCGTCATCTACAACCTCCCCGCCACAGCGATCGATGGCAACGACTACGCGCTGCCTGAGCCGCCGTTCGTCGATTACTTCGAGGTGAGTCCCCCCCCCCCTCCATCTCATCCATATTGCAGCTCAAGAAACCTAACCCCAATCACTTATAAAAAAAATAGTACCTCGGCGAAAACCTCTGGCAAGTCATCGTCGTCGGCTGGCTGGGCTTCAGCGAGACCGCCGCGCAGGCCCTCGCTAACGAAGGGATCCGCCGTCTAGCCGCCGCGGGGACGCTTTCCGCTTCAGTCTCCAACGTAACGGACATGGCAATCCATGCGTGGTCGAACCACGGGGCGATGGATATGCGGACCACCGCCGAGAATCTGCGGGACGGGTTCATCCAGCGGCAGTATGCGCTGCAGGGCCATCGGTCGACGTACTGGACGGGCGCGGCGTTCGGGAATCAGCTGTCGAATTATCTGTGGGCGTATAATTTGGAGTATTTGGTGCCGTTGGTGCGGGGGAGTTTGGCGTGAGTGGCTGGGGAGTGTAGGGTGGTTAAGGGTGGGTTGGAAGTAAGTTATGGGGTTAGGGTTACGGGAGTGTTTCAGTGATCGGGTTTCAGGCAGAAGAAATAAGGTTTGCGTGGAATGGACTGCTCAAGTCAATGCAGACCCGTCCATGTCTTAGGGCATAAGGTCTGAGCATAAATAACTTTAGTAGCTTCGTCCAAGCTTGAGACATGGGTGACACCAGCTGTTGTCTCGGGACCTGTGTAAGTATGAAACAGGTCTGAGTGGTCTCAAAAGGCAATGGTTTATTTGAAAATTGCCAGTCAGGTCTCTCTTCGGCCCGCATACCTCTCTCCTGGCTCATGTTTCACCTCATTGGGACCTCGAACCGAGGCGTAAATTACTTTTAGCCCATGCTCGGGGCATAAACCTAATCGAATAAATTGCATCATCTCCAGGACAAAAGAATGTGTCTGTATCAGCAACATTGCTTGTCTCTACAAAGTCGATTCCTGCGGGGGAATGCTAAGTACCGCGCTAGTACGAGTGGCACTCGACACATCAACTGCACCCATGCCATGCATGCATACATATCCCGCAGCCACCGCGCGTACCTCTGGAACGCGGTTGCATGCGGGGACCTACTTACCCGATCAGGAAGTATCCCCGCTGCCCTTGATAGGCTCTAAGTTACCTGCTGGGTGCACAACGCTTATCTAGTTACCTCCCGTAAATCAAACTTGATAGATCCGTACACAAGCAAACAATTACCCATCCATCGACCTGAGGACCTATCTCCAAAACCACCACAAACACCATCGGATTGCTCCAACCTCCCACCCAAACAAGCGCATCACTTTTTTTTGGCTCAATCAATCAACCTACCGCCCCCGCCCACCCCCCATCTCAAACTCGACCACAATCTGATCCGTCCGATGGATCTCCCACTTCCTGCCCCGTCCCCGCCCCCGCCCCGGCCGCACCGTCTCCACCTCCTCATCCCCGGACCAGATCTCCTCTTGGCTGTTTGTTCGTGTACCACTTCCATCTGTCAGCTGATGGCGCCCCTTCCTCGCAGATCCCGGCCCAAACGAAGGCACGGGGGTCGGGTACGAGCGCGGAAGGCTGTAGGATCGGCAGGCGGAGGAGCGTTTGCCCAGGATGGATTCCAGGAGGGGCTGGAGGGTGGGGATGCAGGAGGCGATGATGACGAGGTTTGCTTCTGCGCTTTTGCTGGGGTTAGTTTACCGGGTTGGAGGACGAGGAATGATTGGATTGGGTATGCGTGGGCTGAGGTGGGGACGTACTTGGTCCAGAGTACGAGGGGGCAGCTTTCGTCTGTCTTTAGCGTTAGTCGGGGGTGATGGTTGCGGTGGAGGGGGAGGGGGAGGAGGAGGTAGGGGAACAAGGGCAGGGTAGGGTAGGGCAGGCATACATGTGGAATCAGCAACGTCGCCGAGGGCGTCGAGGTGGGTGGTTTTGATGATGGCGGCGCAGGCGGAGCTATCCGGACCAGTTAGGACTGCATTGTCACGGGATTGAAGGGAGGGATGAACGAACATAGCGCCCAGCCCTAACGCCGCGCACAGGGCGAGCTTCTTATGCAGGGACATCTGTAATCGCCACAGGATCACGCTCGGGTAGATCGCCAGGCTGAGGTCGGTGAACGCTGATAATGCTGCAACGCTGTGAGTGAGTGCCCTGCCGGCGAATGCTGAACTGCAGTAGCCATCGGCGAAAGTAGAGGCAGACTCACCCCCATTAAACGTGGCAACCCCGATGATAACTCTCGAACTGCGACAGCGCGCCCCCTCGACCGTCGCCCACAGCGCGCGCGGCGGATCGCACTGGGTAAACAGTACCAAAATATTCCCCACCGCGACGGCCATCACCATCCCCGTCAGCCCCCAGAGCGCACACCGCATGCGAGGCCCAGGAACCAGGATCCGGTGCAGCAGGGCGGCCACGCCTAGTTTGGGCAGCGCGAAGGCGAGGATCCCGAAGATCCAGCCGAGATCGATGGTCAGGTTCGCTCGTTCGGCGGCGGAGGGGCCGATCGTGGCGGCGTGCTTGCCGAGACCTTGGGTGACAGCGACGGTCGCGAGGCTGACGTTGCATAGCCCTAAGATCTGGGAATGGGAGTGGGTCAACGGGTGAATCACCGATATAAATGAGATAATGGACTCACCATTGAAGAAGCAATCAGCCAGTCGTCCAGCCCGAAGGCACGGATAATCTTCGTACGGATCACCAGGCGCGCGCAGACCAGCACGGTCGCAAGGCTCGTCAGGGTCCACATCACCGCCAGCAGGGCCGGGCCTTTGTTCTCTGGGTCGTACGCTGTGGTACCCGCCATGGCATGGAGGCGCTGCCACTGTTGTCGTGGACCATCCGGAAAGATTAAGAACAGCGAAGAGGCAGCAGTTGGCGGGCTTTGGGAGGACCGCTACAGCCTTGGTCTGGCGATGGTGGCACAACTTATAGGAAGCGCCCCCCCCCCCCCCCCCCTGTCGATAATAAGGAAATTAATGAGTAAATGTGTTGGTGGGGGGAAATAAATGGACAGGTGCCTTCGATTTCTGTAGCCAGGTGTCAGTGCTATTTTTTTTTGATGCATCGACTTTTGATGCAGGAGTTGATATGTGCAGGATTGCTATTTGTGGGCAAGGTTGGTTTACGCAGTAGTGGGGAGGGGAATCACGCAACCCGGCCGCGCTAATCATGCAGGACGAAAAAAACTGTTTGGGCTTGATTGTGTCGGGTCTTTCGCGGGTTGTTTGTCTGCAGTTATCGTCCAGAGTACCCCTCACAGCAGCAGCCCCGTATGTTCCCAGAATCGGTGCTCGTTGAATGATGACCTGTGCGGCATATGCCTTCCAGGTGGGAATGGGGGCATGCATTCTTGTTTTGCGGCAACGCAATGACCCCCTCATACCCCTCGGCCCGGAAAATGGCTCCGCATCTCCGCAATCAATTGTGGATCCTGTCATCTCTGTCTGGACCAATTGACCTGGCTTGGGTGGGACTTAGGCCTCAACTTACTGATGTACTCATACGTACGAGTATCGAATTCCCGGATCACCGATACCCTGGTCCGCTGGGTTTGACATCAGACAATCGCATTCTTCGGTCCATTCGACGTGCTTGGTCTGGCCTGTCACAATTTTGTTCCTGGTCAAAATTCAGTGAATGCTGCATCAGACTATATCCCTCACACAGACCTTGTACTGACCTCCATGTGGTGCATTGCCATCCCAAAGTGTGGACCGAGATTGTCTCGCTCGTGAAAAAATCCCTTGAAGCCCTGCAGAATCTCAAGGTTCTTGATCTCCCTCTGCTGCAACAACCATGATTGAATGCAACGATATCCCTGCGACGGTGTCGTGGTCGCATGTGGTGAAGAATGTGGATGTTGAATCGCTGGGCCGTTAACCCTAAGCCCCCGAGCTCAAACTGACAGCCTGCTGAGCCCGATATTCAATGCTGGGCAGCCTCGCGTGCGACTCCAGCTAAGGAAGTCGTGCGAGTTTAATGCCAGGCGTTGAGACACCATGCAAGACTCTTGTGAGGGCCACCGATGAGCCCCTAATGTTCAAGCTCCAGGTATTGAGCCGCTGGGTATCCGATGTGTTATCGCGCAGCGTACCGGCTTCGGACTTGGGGTCGGGTTTGATATTGGGGGGTGCCGTTCGTTGATCGGAGCGATCGATCGGCTGTGGGGCTCTAGATGTTTGTAGCCATAAGGGAGCTGTGTATGCAGGAACGGGATCGTGAGCCGAAACTTCGTGAAGCGATGATCATGGGAAACTCGGGAAGTGATCTCCGAGGCCGGGACGGGGCAGCCCGACCGACTAAGCGTGATAAACGTCAGCTCTTTCTCTGGATAAGTCGCATCCATGATATCAAAGATTTGATGTTTATCGTAGTGGGGGAGTTTTGTGGAGGCTTGGGAATATTATTGCTTTGTCTGTCGAGAGGAGAGCGTGTACTCAACGTGGCGTGCAGTACAATACTTCCGCCGCAGGAAAAAGGAGGCTGCGTTGTGTAGCGAGAAAATGTTTCTCTAACAGCAATCTGCGTCACTTATGGATACAGCAAATAGCTACTACTTACTAGTCTTTGAGGCTTATTGACCTGAGGATTGCTCTCGATGAGCGAACTTTGGGGGTATGTGTCTGCGAGGCACAACTGGGAGGTTCATCAAGGAGCTCTTTTCATAGCATTCGGGCTGAGAAGACTTTGGTGGTTGCGGCTGTATGTGCTAGTGGTTCCCTCATTAGCCCTAACTGTACTGTGCTCTGGTTTTCAAAACAGAAAGAGAGGAAAAGAAAAGGGAACAAAAACCGTCATCTTCAAGGATTGTTCTTTCTAGCAAATTCAAGAGCGCCTGGAGGCAATACTCAGAGCTATAGTACACGTGCCCAGCTGTATGGGAAGAAAAAAAATGACCAGCAGGGGGGGGGACAGGCGACCCCCCTTTCCCTGGCCATGCCTCGGGTCTGGCCTTCATCGTGGAGGCTCTGGGTCTGGGAGAAAAGCGAGGCGACCAATGGCTTACCCGAAAAGCCACAAGTTTTAGCTAGCAGCATTCCCTTTACTTGGAACTCTGCCAATAGCAAGTTACTATTCTTCCCTGTCGTGTGGTTTACGTTTCACTCGGGGTCGTGGTAGCCGTGACCAAAGCGGCGAGTCAGGGGTACACACCAGAGGCCCCAAAGAAAGCCAGCTGCTCTGTGTGTGCCCATGCACGTATAGCACGAATAAGTAGCATAATGTTCTTCCTAAGTCTCGAGAATGGAGATTCAGACAAAGGAATCAAACGGCAAATATTGAAACTGCCTCAGGGGCGTAATATTGTAAATCAAATACCAAAGAAGTGAATATCAAACTAGAGCCTCAGGGCCGCAACAATAACACCCGCTTGCCTTTTACGAAAATGGGATATCCTGCAGATTCTCCTCAATTTTGTTCATCCGATCCACCAGGGCCGCCGCGGTCTTCTGAAAGTCATCGGAGGCGGATTTCGCGAGCTCCGCAATGCGTTCTTTCCAGAAGATCCACCGCTCGCGGGGGATATCCGCCCTACCACGGTAGAGAGGCCCCTGCTTTGTGCGCCTTTTCCTGTCCGCTTCGAGAAAGCCTTCGTACCGCTGGCGATACAGCTCGTAGCCCGCATGGAGAATCCATTCACGCACGATAGCAAGATGGTGATCGACGAGACGGGGGTTTACATGGGGCCACTCGAGCGCGGACCGCAGCTGCCAGATGGCGAACTCCTTCCACGGCCGCAGCTGATGTCCGAGGACTCTAGCCATGAAGGAGTCCAGGTTGAGGTCTTGCGCGATCCATTTATCATCCTTCGGCCTCTTGTCTTTGTCGCCGAGTTTCAAGGGACACCGGGCATCCTGTGGAAGGTGGAGGAGTCCGCAGCACTTGGCCGTCGGATCGGGATCAATTTCAGGAAGCCCGCTCGGGAAGTTCTGTTGCATCACCCACCCTAAATAGCTAAAGCTTGTCCACAGCTTTTCCCTCACTCCCCCCTGATTCTTCTTCTTCCTCATCTTCTCCTCCTCCTCATCGATAATGATCGGTGTCAGCCGACTCAAAGCGCACATGAGCTTAATCAATCGATCCTGCCCTTCATCATCGTAGCGCGTGACAGCGGCAGTCGAAATTACCTCCAACCAAAACGGCTCTAGAGGTTTATCCCCTTTCCGCTCTTTCTCGGGAGTCAAGAAGTATGGACGGATAATGGCGTCGATGCGCTCGGCCCCGGTGTGCGGGTCCTCTATCCCGTCCACTACATCAAACACAACCTGGGCTGCTTGCTGCACGAGGGGATCGTCGGAGAAAAAGTCGCTGTTTTCCATTTTTCTGTTCGCGGTGTGTGTGTGTGTGTGTGTGTGTGTGTGTGTGTGTGTGTGTGTGTGTGTGGGAGATAGAGAAAACTGTCTTCAGCCTGAGACATATGTAGCACTCAAGCACCTTAAATAGTGCACGACTCTGATGAAAATAGCACAACACCAATACACCTCCTTTGTGTAAGATTTTCAAAATGTCTTTGAAGCTGCACTTCCATTATTAGAATTTTGACTGTCCCAGCCATCTAGTTGTAAGGTAGTTGATACACTTTGTCTCAAATTGCAGTCTCCGGTCTTTGTCTGTCCTTATCAGAAGAAAAGCAAGAGCTGCCACTACTGTGATCTGCTTACCTTTGATCTTTGATCCTCTTGTCTTCATTGATGAGGGACTGGCCTATGATCACAAAGGCACAGAAGTATGCCCGACCACAACATGGGGTCTCAGCGCGAAACCGCCCTCGCAGGCTGAGTGAGGCATAATCCCATCATGTTTCTCTACTGTCTGCCTATGCTCTTCGCCGCAGTTTCACAGTGTAGCAGATGGCATCGTGATCGAGTGCAGCAATATGGTTCATTGCAGTATACCATGGGGGGCATAAATAGTCGTGCTCTAGACCTGCACCATGGCAAACACAATCCTAGCTATCAATATCTCTCTTTTGCTTAACTTCGGCAGATATCATGGGACTCTTACCAATGAAATCGTTTTTCCAGTGGTTCGGGTTTTCAAAGACCCGAAAATCAAAAGAGGACTACTCTTGCAGGCTTCTGGATGATACGTTGATTCACAGCAATACCTCCTATGTATGCCTTCACATTCTGTTCTTGGGTGTAAGCTGACAATCAAGGAATTTAGTGGTAACTCAGCGAGCTTCCTTCACGCACTCTAAGTGGGATCTCCACTACATTTCCATCGAGCATGCGCTCAGGTCGGCAGAGCATATAGAGGACCTGCCGGAGGGAAAAGTGTGTTATAACAAAAAGGGTCGCCCATACCAAGAGCACCCTAAGGAGTATGAAAATAGGGAGAAGATATTCCCCCCCGGAAAGACGCATCGCGAGGGGCCATTGCGACCAGAGGATAGAATGTGGAAGACCGGAACGGAACCAGGCCCTGCTCGTATCATCGGGCCTCAAAAGGAACACGAACCTAGGTGCAGGAAACGACCGCACTGGAAACTACCGACGTACTGGAAACCATGCTATCATGATAAGCAAAGAGGGTCTGATGATAAGAACATGGTCCCCGCAACCTATTACTCAGGTAAGCTATGAGCTCACTCACCCAACCGGTGGTACATCACGTCAACCGTGCTTCTCTTATGCCTCCTTGCTTTTGTCGACCTATCTAACAAATTGCAACCCTAGCGACCGGTCTCGCTCGGAGGCCAGTTTCCGCGCCGACTTGAGCCACAACAGTTCCCCTCGAAGATCAAGTCTCTGTTTTGATCATCTGTGTTTGCAGTTCATCTGCGACGCCCATTCATCGTCCTGTTTGGTGTCTTCTTGCCACCTTCTACCGCATCTGACTGTCGAAATCTCTCGTTTGTCGCTTAGATCTTTCGGTTTTCTCGCGTTATCTTCTTGGTCTTCGGTTTCGTACCTCCTTGTTTTGTCAGGATCTTTGTTTCGATACCACCTTCCTTTGGACTCTTTCGGTGCCTCCTTCTGTGTTTGTTCTGATATGTCTAAGCCTTATTGTTGGCCAGTGTCTGTCTTTTTGTACTTACCGAACTCTATTGTCATCAATTGCATGGCTTTGTTGTCCACCATCCCAGCGGAATTGCGGGCGTCCTTTGACCAAGTCCTTAGGGCTGGCTTGCTTTCTACGTTCCGCAATCGTTTTGGGCCTGGGTCTGGCCCATCCTTGAGCAGTAGATATAACGGGTCAACTACGGCAATAAACGCAGCTCCCAACCATCCAACAAATAATCTTGTCTGGGATTAGTACATGACCTCATGGACCGTCCACTTGTGCCATTTCGGGAACGCATTCAATCGACCGCCCCAGGCTCCAGGCTAATAGTCGATCGCACCCGATCTAGTAAGGTCGATTCCGGCTCCGGATTTCTTGGCGGACCCGACTAGACGGTCCGATCGGATATTATCTTGATCCAGCTGACATCAATATCTGTAATTACCAATTTGCCAAGAAAATGCGGCAGTGGAAGTACAAGGATAGGCAGGGGGCACGTGTGACAGTCGGAAATTCCGTTTCCTTTTCCCTCCTTGGACGCAGGGATCGCCTGCTGTAGGTCACAAACTGGGAACCCATCCACTTGGAGGCTTTTTAGCAGCTGTTTCGATAGGACAAGTGTGCAGACGAGGTTACATGTAGCGTAACAGAAACGACCGGGATTCTTCTGGGGCTCTACATCACGCGATGCCTTAACTTGGCGAGGTGAACCCCGACTCGCCCCCTTCCCTGCAAAGATGCCTTACCTAGCAAACTAGAAAATAAGTTAGAATTTCTGTGAATTTCGGACAAGATGAATGAGTTTTGATAGAGTTAGGTATGTGTGCCATCAATAATCCTGTATCAGTAGCATGGTGGATCATCGAGTCCATATAATGACCGTACTTTTACCAACAGAGGATAAAGAAACTAGTGGGGCATTCATTCCAACATAGCGGAACATTTTCTCCAGTTGGTCTTTGGGCTTACAATCCATTGTACTATCTCTTTGATGCATAGCGACATCCTCATCTCCTTTTTACTTGTTACCCCTGTCCAAAGAACATAAAAAGACATTGTGCCATTTCTCTGCCCCCATTCTTGATCCATCTCTCTGCAGGCGACGCACAGCTGAGGATCTGATTTATCCAGACCGGCAAGTATGTCGTCTTATCCTTATCGTTTTTTCAACCTCCTGAGCTCTGCTTTCGCTCCGCAAGAGCCATCCCAGGACCAGCAGATGCTGGTGGGTCAGGCCGATGCCGGAGAGGAACGGCCAATGCTGCAGGAGCAGACAGGTCAAGACCCCGACCTGCGTGAGTACTTGCCTGGTGCTCGTGAGGACATCGTCCGACCCCCCTCGCGCGTAGCATGCCCTGAGAACCAGCAACAGGATCAGCCACAGCCGGACGCAGGATCACCCCAGCGCCGCTCCGGTCGATATCACTACGTGCGGGATAACAGGGGTAGATGGATCTGCGCCTTTCCGGGCGCCGATGGGCAACCCTGTAAAGCTGCTTACTACAGCCATGCTGGGTTTTGTAAGCACTATCAGGTGAGCCATGAGCCGAAGAAGCTCTATCCGTGTCGGTTCTGCGGGCGGAGTCTGTTGTTCTCTACTCGCGTGCAGTATACCCAGCATATGAAGCGCGTTCACTCGGCGTAGATGGCTGGGTCTCGGGGTCGAAGCAACTAGCAGCAGGACCTCCAGGTCTGAAGAGAATAAATTTGAGTGATTTTGAATTGAGAAGTGGTATTTTTATAGTGTGGTTTCGTTGGAAGGAGCATATTCCTCTCTTCACACCCGGTGGAGCGGCCGTCAGAATGAGGTTCAGCCCTAATCCTTCTCCCGTCTTTCTATGGTTGAGTTCCCCCTAAACCCTCAACCGAGTCCGCTAGCTTGAGAATTGCCTCATCACGCGTAAGCATGTCCAGGCCTCATCACGCGCCACTTGAAAGACTATTCGAGAGACTGGGAGCTGTCTTCTGATGTCATCATTCTCTCCGTCTTTTGCACAGCTTTGTATATTCTTATTACGTCAGCCGACCACCAACCACGTCTTGGTGGCGCAATTGGTTAGCGCGTACGACTGTTAATCGTGAGGTTGAGAGTTCGATCCTCTCC